ACGGTAACGTTCCGTTCCCCTGTTCACCTCAGGCCTCAGTAGTCCGTCTAAGTATACGCTTGATTTGGCTGTATATTGACGGGGTAGAAGTAAAGGCTAATCTGCCTTTTACAGCTACCCCGAGGGTTTATATACAATCTTATACATTCTCGGCACAAATAAATAGAGAAGCTTCCACGATGCTAAATTAGCATCGCGACATAATTATTACACAACACAACATCAACTGATGTTGTGGGCAGAATATAGACATGGGCCGGGGCCTCACACCCATCTCTGTCCACTCCGATACTCACCTTGGACCGAACACTGCCCCTCTCGCCACCCTCCTACTACTCCTCCTCCTACTCCTCTGCTCCTCCCTCACAACACCTCCACCCTTCTGTCATCCTCCTATGCTTCTCCCATCTGCTCCGATACTCACCTTCAGACCTGACAACTCTCCTTTCTGCCACTCCTTCCCTCTTCCCTTTCTCCTCTCTCTTCCCTCTGGTACTCTTCCACTGACCTCCCACCAAGTTATGACCTTCCACTGCTGTCCCATACTTTGTACTCAGGCACCGCTTGTACCTTTGCTCCAAGCCTCTGTCATAGTCCCTACCTCGGACTTTGACTCCACCTCGGTCTTAGTCCATTGCAATGGTGACCTCATACTACGTAAACACCATTGCCAATATTCCTTGGACTTTCAACCCCGCTGTTAGACACTGGTCCGGGGTCGGCACCGAAGGTCGCCGATGCGGGCTGCTATAGGCTGCGATGGCCATGATGCCGTGAACAAGGCCTGGGGGTAGGGCATTTGGCCTCAGCAACTCTAAAGGGAGTGCTGTGCCCCCTAGCTGTCTCTTGGCCCTCATTTCGGACTCACTGGGGTTGCCTTGTTGGGGTCAGGACTTAGGGGTCATGGTCACATCGATATTAGAGCTAAGGTACAATAAAGTATCATACAGGATAGATATAGGAGGAAGAAATGAATGGAAGCGGACCCGGGCCGGAGGCCGAAGGGTCCGGAAGCAAACAAGAATAAGGACCGGGGTTGGCCACATAGTGGCCGGCAATGACCGAGGGTCAAAACAAACAATAACAGATAAATAAAGGAAAGAGCGTAGGGCCATGATAGCGGCGATGGTATCGTAGCGGCACTGGACTCGGAGTTGGGCCAGAGTTGGGTGCAGGGATGATAGCGGCCCTGTAGGGGCCAAGTGGGCGGGGTAGAGGAGTCGCGCTGGGCATGGTGCCGGAGGCGGACTCGGGGCAGGAAGGTTGGTGTGGCTGTGGGGGAGTCGGCCAGGTGCAGGGGAGCCTAGGGGCAAGCGGGGGAGTGAGCAGGGAGTCCTCATGAAGGATAGGGCTGAGGTCGGGGCTTGCACTCACGCTTGCATAGCGGTAACAGGCTCGGGCAGCATCGGGACGGGCAGGGAACGGGCCGGAATGCACGGCCATGACACCCGCCTCTGTAACCTCTGTAAGCTCTGAGCTCCACAGATCATCTTCAGCACTTTCGCCACTTGTAATGTATCTCTTGCGTTTTCCCCTCATCCCTATTTGGACTGCTGCTTCTCCCCATTCTAGCCAGTTAGTCATCATCCCCACTTCTCCTCATCCTCCTGCCCCTCTGGGCCTCGCCCTTCTTACCTCCTTTCGGACATATCACAGGTTCTGCCTTATGACCTTCGGTACTGCTCCGCTTCTGTCATCCCTTTGTTCCCATTCGGACGCCTTTGTTCCGATTCGGATCCCCTTTGTTTCCTTGTGCTTTTGCCCCCTCCATTATATATATCGGTGCTTGTACATACTCGTTTTGGGCTCAGTCCAAAATCAACCTGAAATGCCCCTAGAGACTTCCTGCTCACCTACTGTGAAATTAAGGACCAAATGGACAAACAGCAATGGCACAGCGCTCCGCTTGAGTTGCTGAGGCCAAGGTCCTTCCACGCTAAGTCTCCAATTCCACTCCGGAGTCATCTGAATCCGCCCGTTCTAACACCTTACAAAAGTGCACATTGTCCATTCCCTATCCATCCCTTACAGCAGGGGAGAGTCAGGGGGAATGGAAGGTGAGGTTGTATTCAAAGGTGGGGATCGGAACAGACAGGAATAGGGGTAAGACTCCGGAGGTGGTGGAAAGGGTCTGGGAGTCAAATCGGGATTGGGTATGTACAGATATGACACCAAAGACTTGCATCCAAAAAAGTATTTTGCATTTTTCTCAATAACTTGCTTGCCAATTTAGTCTCAAATTATATATTCTGGAAGCTATTTGAAGGGGCTATCCAACTATGCAAAGTGTGTTGAGACCGTGAGAAACAGTGCTGACACCCCTTCAGACAGTGGCCAGCATTGTGCACAGACATTGAGGTGGACAGCCACACTAACCCAAAGACTCGTGTCCAAAAAAGTATTTTGCATTTTTCTCGATAATTTATTGGTCAATTCAGTCTCAAAATATATATTCTGGAAGCTATTTAAAGGGGCTATTCAACTACGTAAAGTGTGTTCAGACCGTGGGAAACAGTCTTGACATCCCTCTAGACAGTGGTCAGCATGTGCACAGACCATGGGATGGACAAGTATGGCATTCTAGGACAATTTGCAACCATAAAGTACACAAAGTATGTAAAGTATGTAAAGTATGTAAAGTATGTAAAGTATGCAAAGTATGCAAAGTATGCAAAGTATGCAAAGTATGCAAAGTATACAATAGCGAAGCATGCAAATGCACAAAGTGGAAATGTGTGAAGTATGAATTGACCCAAAAAGATCCATCAGTATTTTTTATCGGTAACTCATTCCATAACAGAATGTCGAGGGGCGCTGTGACGGTATGGAATAAGCTACCGATGAATATTCCTGACACATGAAATGGGCTTTTTCGCACTTAGGCATCAGCTGTTTCCACTTCGCACAATGTACACTTTGCATACTTAACATATTTAGACAAGGGTCACATGAGGAAAAATACATTCGATTCCCACTAATCTTAGACTGTATTGTAGTGGAGTTATCCGAATTAAATCGTTATATTGTCAATACTCCTGCTCACTGTCTGTGCACCATGCTGGCAACTGTCCAGAGGGGTGTCAAGACTGTTTCCCACGGTCTAGACACACTTCACATAGTTGGATAGCCCCATTGAATAGCTTCCAGAATATATATAATTTGAGACTGAATTGATGCATAAATTATCGAGAAAAATGCACAATACTTTTTCGGACACGAGTCTGCAAATGCTTGTGGCTGTCCAAACTCACTGTCTGTGCACAATGCTGGCCACTGTCCAGAGGGTTGTCAGGACTGTTTCCCACGGTGTTAACATACTTTACACCAATGGATAGCCCGTTTGGATAGCTTCCAAAATATATAATTTGGGACTAAATTGACCAGTAAATTATTGAGAAAAACACAAAATACTTTTTCGGACACGAGTCTGTGCTCATGCTGACCACTATCTAAAGGAGTGTCAGGACCGTTTCCCATGGCATCAACACACTTTACATCAATGAATAGCTTAGACAGTGGTCAGCATGATCACAGACATTGAATTATCCCAAAAGACTCGCGTCCGAAAAAGTATTTTGCGTTTTTCTCAATAATTTACTGGTCAATTTAGTCCCAAATTATATATTTTGGAAGCTATCCAAACGGGCTATCCATTGGTGTAAAGTATGTTAACACCGTGGGAAACAGTCCTGACAACCCTCTGGACAGTGGCCAGCATTGTGCACAGACAGTGAGTTTGGACAGCCACAAGCATTTGCAGACTCGTGTCCGAAAAAGTATTGTGCATTTTTCTCGATAATTTATGCATCAATTCAGTCTCAAATTATATATATTCTGGAAGCTATTCAATGGGGCTATCCAACTATGTGAAGTGTGTCTAGACCGTGGGAAACAGTCTTGACACCCCTCTGGACAGTTGCCAGCATGGTGCACAGACAGTGAGCAGGAGTATTGACAATATAACGATTTAATTCGGATAACTCCACTACAATACAGTCTAAGATTAGTGGGAATCGAATGTATTTTTCCTCCTGTGACCCTTGTCTAAATATGTTAAGTATGCAAAGTGTACATTGTGCGAAGTGGAAACAGCCGATGCCTAAGTGCGAAAAAGCCCATTTCATGTGTCAGGAATATTCATCGGTAGCTTATTCCATATGACGGCGTTATGGGCTGGCTGTATGGGGTCAGGGTATATGGGAAATTGTCCAGAGACCATTCGTACTCCCAACAAATTTGCCTTGATAGACCAAGTATCCCCACATGTGCACAGTTTTGCCAAATCCGAGACCTCCGCATCCCAGGTGTGACTAAGAGTGGCAACCTCAGAGTATGTATGGCCCCTGGACCGTACTACACTGACGAGAGACACACCCTCTGACCCACTAATAGTCTGATGCGACCATGGTCGGCAACGTGAAGGCAAGCGTTTCAGCACAACGATTCAGATAGCGGAACAGTTCCTTGACATTGCTTCTGTCAGGTGTACAGGGATCGGAAGAGTTAGGTTCGAGAGGGGAGCACAGCTCGAAGCGCTTCATGATGAATACAGGTCTCTTTTGACTAAACCGCATGCGAATTCAAACCATCCGAATGACTGGAATTTGGCTATATACACTGACTGCGCAGAAGGAGTGCGCTCACTCTATCGATTGACGGTACGCCAGAAAACAATAACCAGGATACCAATCCGTGGCACCACCAGATTCAGTTGCATGATTCCATGTGGAGGGAAGGTTGTCGGCAGTTTTGGGCAAGAGCGAAAAAGCGGTCCTTGGAGCTGGGACGAGAAGAGTATCTCATATTCTACAACTCATTCATAGCCAGCGGCCTCGACGTTAATGTGACAACAGGTTCTGCTGAAATAATATTTTGCTTGGGGCTGTCACACGTGACAGCTTCCTAGAGATTCTTCCATCGTTGCTAGACTTCATAAGAAACATTACGGATAATGTGGTGAATAAATGCGAAGCCTAGATATATCTTTACTGACCTTATCGATGGTGCATGGCAGCAAGCATATTCTTAACGCTCAGGTCGCGATCCGAGCCCCGTGCTGTCAGAAGTGGTTTGACTGCCCAGAATGTCACGCTGAAGTGTCAGCGCATCGACTGAAGAAAACTCTCGAAATGATCTTTATGTGTAAAAAGTGCAAGAAAGCCTTCCGAAAGGACATGGCAACATATGAGGAGAGTGATGAGTACTGCCCTCATTGCGACAACCATTATGTGGGTTTCTCTCGCAATAAAATTTGGATAACGAAGGCCATCGCTCATTCTAATTCTATTTTAGGTCATAGAAGCGAAAACTCCTCAAGCGATGCTCGGTGTCGAGGGTGAGGATGCAAGGATAGATTCAAGGTAAGCTGCACAGCTGCAACACGACTTTGCGACTAAACCCCCCACGAAATTCGAAACAGAATGATAAAAGACGAGCGTACCAGACAAGACCCCAAGAGTTCCATATTTATGCAGGATTTCTCAGATCGGGTAGGGATATGATGAGCTTGTCAATGTCGAATCTGACCATCGCCGTGCACTACTAGAGTAAGTTCACTTTTAGTATGTTTCAGTGTCATTTAGCAAATCACTGAAATGTTACTGTTTTAGCATCACACTGTATTTCGTACCAATGCATATTTCGACATTTCAGTTTTGACCATCTTATTTTCTCCTTGAAATCCTCGTCAGGCGTCTCGCTCCAAGACGTATCATACAGACTGAGCCCTGAGCCCTCTCTTAAGCTCTCCTCACTGCGTGGTGCTCTGGAAAAACTTCTCGGAGCTCCTTCACCACATCTCCGCTAATATCCTTCGTTCGTTTGCCTTCACAACCATCAAGGCCTCATTTTGGCGACGTAACTCACAGCGTAGTTCCCTGAAGTGTTATTCTAGATCTCGACTTCCTGCCTAACAGGGGCATGCACCATGTCGACAGCTCGATACTTCGTCAATCTTCTCACTGCACTCTCTCTATCTCCCTCCCCCAAAGCACCCTCGCATCTTAAGCCCTCTTCCTCCCTCCTCGGTACAAGTTTCATAGCGAACGATGCGAAGAGCTGTACTTCGAATGACTCGAGATGGCAATTTCCCCCATCACTTCCGGTAACAGTACCTCAGCCCCAGCAACCCGATCAGAAAATATCTACAATATACCGGTATAGGCAGCAGCAGGGGGTTAACCTAGGAAGTTGGTGAGTACATGCTGACGCTCGCAGATTCACTGTGACCGATATCTTTTCTCTCGACAGGTTCGTTCTCGAAGGCTGGATGCACCCTTCACTCTTCGCTTGCGCTAGCGGGCCTCAGTCTTCCGAATATGATTTCGCCTCCGGTTTCGGCTGGAACCAGACTCTGACCAAACTTGTTCTAGAGAATCACTGGGACACGTTCATTACTGAGCAAGATTTCGTATATCTCGCTTCCATCGGGATCAACACCGTGAGACTTCCCATTGGGTATTGGAGTTTAGGGCCTGATGGTGGATGGATGGATGGTACACCTTTTGAAAGCGTGAAGGAGGTCTATACAGGCAGCTGGCCACGCGTTCTCAGAGCAATTGGCACTGCAGAGAAGTATGGTATAGGTATCCTCATCGATCTTCATGGTGCTCCCGGCAGTCAAAATGTACGTTATCCTTGTTCTCCATTCGAACCATGTAACTAATGAGTCTGATGTCTTGTAGGGGCAGTCTCACTCGGGTACGAGTGATGGGAAAGTGGGTCTCTTTGGTAATGAATGTTACATGAATAAGACTACGGATATTCTCGCCTACCTGGCCAAGCAACTCGTCAACCGAAACAACGTAGTTGGTATCCAACTACTGAACGAACCAAATAATGACGCTCGTCTTCCTGACTTTTGTGAGATTTCGCCCTTTGATTTCGGACGCATCACCACTCATAGCCCATCAATTCAGATGCCAAAACCATCGATGCTTTGCGAAGCATTTCTCCGGCCACGGAGAAATTCCCATTTTATATCCATGATGCTTTTAATGTGAACCAATATGGCAACTTTGTCTCTGATCGCACGGATTTCGTTGTGGAGGATCATCATTCTTACTTTGTCTACACACCATCTGACCAGTCGGCGTCTGCAACGTCTCACACAAACGATATCAACTCGGGCGTTCTCAAGTCTCTAACATCAACGTCTGAGCTTGGACGACGCAATATGATCATCGGAGAGTGGAGTTGTGCATTGACTCCCCAGAGTCTTTCCATGGAAAATCATCCTTCTGATTCTCAACGAACGTTTTGCGAGGGACAGATGAACATTTACTCCGAAGCGGCTGCTGGCTGGACCTTTTGGAGCTACAATAAGGAGGACTGTGGTGATGACGGAGGGTGGTGTTTCCGCAAAGCAGTCGGAACGAATCTTCCTTCCACTTTCTATTCCTTCCCGCAGTCACAATCCAACAATACCGCTGCAACCCTTCTTCGAACGTCAATGATCGCCGGCAGTTCTTCTAGCAACGACTTGGATCCTATTCTTGGATGCATCAGGCCAGCCTCGTCGCCCAGCCTTCCCACTATCGCTGCCAGTCAGGTTAACAGCAATCTGACTTTCGCAAACATTTCAACCATCGAGATCCCTCCGCAGACAGACGAATCTGCCCCTGATAATTCGGCGATTTCTCCAGGGAATCCCAGCTTCCTTCAACAACCCCCAATGTCTGCAGAATCAAATCCTCTGAAGAAACGTTCCAATCCTCTTGGCCACCTATCCAAATCATCATTCTTTGGCAGAGGTCGTCGTCATCACAGGATTATTCAATATCGCCAGCGTCGACAAGCCCAACCTACCGATTCAGAGGGTATTCAATCACCGCAAACAATTTCCGACGATCCGTATTTGCATATGACAGCTTCACAGAAATCCATTGCCCGCGGCTATGCAGATGGTTTCAGTACGGCCAAGGTTTTCGCACAGAATGGGCTTAGCAAGCTAGGATTCAGAGGACAGTACATTCGGGACCACTACGACGAACTCCTGAAGGATAGCTCCAATGGAATGTCTAGTGACGCCGCCAATCGTGACCAGTACTCCACCTGGTTTTTGAAGGGGTTGAAAGATGCGGAGGCACAAATCTCGGCATTTCTTAATGGTCAGCCCGTTGTGTATCCCGACCCCTGAGGATCTTTCGTTATCTACAATTGGTGCATGGCCATGCCTTATATCTATCTGAAGTACCGTTGATCTTCGCCTCGCATCTCTGATGACAGATACAGATATATGTCGTCATCTCGACAGTATCATGACCGTCGTGCATGGTGCGTCACCGTAACAAGCGAGGTTTGAGTGTTCCCCGGCATCATCACTGTTCCGCTGTCTCTTTCCAGTAATATTAATGGGTATACATCGTACATGTTATAACTGGGCGCATGAAGTTCGCCATAAATGCATGTGGGACGTGAGAAAGTTGCCAAAAACGGATTGACACAAGATTGACAGTGACAATTGGATTTCGAACGCTGTCGTCGATGTTGTTGCATCGTGAACCCCTAAAGTATTTGTGTGAGTCCATCAGTGTTGCTTTCCTCCAAATAAGCAGTTATCACGCTGCGTGGCGCAGGATCCCTTGGATCTTCTTTCTTACGACAGCGATTCCAAGTCGGGTTGTGGCTCGATGGGAGTACTGGCTAGATCTCCATCTTGAGTGAATGCTTTCATACTCAGGTGACTCCCTGCTCCAGCCATGAGCTCTGGTAAGATCACAATGACATCCGACTCCATGACATCAGTAGCAGCTCAGCGTTGCGTACACATATACCATCCTATGAGCAGGGATCGCACCACTCTCTGCACACCGTACATGAAAGGATAGGTCGCTGTTGTCGCGGGTGGTGGAACCGGTATTGGTCTCATGGCTGCTCAGGCTCTCGCTGACAACGGTGCACGTGTGTTCTTGGTCCTTAGTTTCTATCCTCCTATTTTTCCAGCTAATATCATCGTACTACCTTTCCGACCCTCTGGTTCCTCCCAGACATTGTTGGGTGTCGCCTCGACACACTCGAACAAGCTGCCAGGGTCCATAGTTCTGAACTTGCACACCCCGAGGGAAAACTGATGCCAATGTGACTGACAAATCGTCTCCGAGATATCTCAAAAAGGAAGAGCACGTCGACTTGCTCATCAACAGTGCAGGCATCGCCAAAAATTAGGTTCAATGTCGAGCTGGGAAATGGGAACTCGCGCTGGCGCTCTCCCGAGAAAATCTGGGGGTTTGGGAAGACTCGTACCGGATGAATGTGACTTCGTGGGGTATCTCATCAATACTTAATCGCGAATGGCCGGTTTGGGTTCCTCTAGATACTTCTACGTCTATCCTGCTCTCCTCTCTGCCTCCACCGCAAAACGCTACGGTCACTCAGCCGGCATCATGAATATCTCATCAATCTCCGGTATACCCGCCCCAGTCAATCCCAGTTCGCCTCCAATACCTCCAACGCAGCAGTCATCCAACCCAACGCATTGCTGGCACAAGAATTCTCGCGCGCTGGAGTCAATGTCCGTGCCAACTCCATCGCTCCCGGATTATTTCAAACGAGCTTACGGTAGGACGATCGGATGGGGTTAATAAGAGTAAGATCGAGGGGTTTGGGGTGAAGATCCCAGCTGGAAGATCTGGAAAGGACGAGGATGTCACGCAGGCGGTGTTGTTGCTGGCTGCAAACAATGATGTGACTGGACGACTCTGATTGTTGATGGAGGATTAATTCCTGACTAGTTCTCTCGACTCGTTTGTGTGTTTCAATAGGGCATGGGATTGTTCCTTTCCCCAGACACAAATCATGCCATAACCAAGTAGTTAGCACATATGCAATACAATCGATTCATATTCTCGATACATTGAGCACGGAACAAGTCAGAGCCCAACTAGTCATGTTGTGGCCAAGCGATGATTCTTGTTTTTCTCCCGGTTAACGTGAATGATTGCTTTGCCAAACCTGAGCCGACATCTACCCAAAGTTCGTAGTTTCCGGGGTATAGCACACTATCCCCATTCGACTCGACACGAGCGATAGAGCCAAGGGTTACATTCAGTGTCAATGTGTGCACCTGGCCAGGAGACAGGTTTTTCGCGCGTGCGTACGAAACCAGCTGTTTGAGAGGAGCAGGGGAGGGTCCTGCTGTAGTGCGCAAGAAAAGGAGTGCGACGTAGTCGGAGGACGCTTTCCCAGTATTGTGAACGTTCAACTTGAAGGAATCGAGTAAACCCAGATCAAGATGAGGTGATGTCTTGGCGTAGGAGACAAGGGTTGAGATGCTGTACGACGGTTTGGGTATACCGTTTTTGAACCAAGAAACATGAAATGTGGTGTAGTGTAGTCCGAACCCAAATTCAAACACCGGCGTACCAGTGTACCATTTGTACGTTCGTCCTGGAGAGCCAGAAATAGAGTCGGGTCGGAGGTTCATATTCGTCATAGGAACTTGGGATACGTATGAAGTGGGATATTGCGTAATGGGAAGTCGACCTGCCGGGGATCTTTTTCCTGTAATGATGTCAACAATAGCCTGGCCACCACTTTGGCCAGGATAGCCCGCCCACAGTAACCCTTTCACCTGAGTTTCCCATATTCAGAATTGTTCACTAGATGAAGCGGGGATGTGAAAGGCTTACTGATTCACTAGCTGCCAGGGCTGAATCATCCACTTGCCCACCGCCCATTTGAACGACGATTAAAGGCTTCCCAGTAGACTCAAGCGCAGAAATTAATTGAAACTGGTTGTCAGGCCAGGAAATATCAACACGATCCTTTCCTTCGGCCTCAACATCATTGTCGATACCACCCAAATAAATGACGACGTCCGCACGAGCCGCAATGGCAAGCGCATCTCGAGTTCCATTAACCACATCGCTCAAAATATTCGTCCCGATGGAGTATGTCACGTTGAAGCGTGTCGATCGGAAAGCTTGGAAAGGACTGACCAAAAATGGTGCTCTGCCATTGTAATTGCCTTGCATTTGAGTGGTCGTGTTGAAGAGTGGCCCAATAAGTGCAATGTTATGTACGTCAGTGCTGAGAGGAAGGATCCCCGTGTTTTTGAGGAGGACGATGCCCTCCACGGCAGCGGTGTATGCGAGGGTTTGTGCTTTTGGGGTGTTAACGTCCTTCCACGTCAATTGGCGATAAGGTTGAAATGAAGGGGAATCGAAATACCCTAACCTGCGCAAGAAAATGAGATTGGACGATTTGAAGACATTCTTATTTATCGAGCAACGAACCTAACCAAAGAGGCATATTGACGCACGAGGGCAGTTTGAATATGAGAGATCGTAATGAGTTTTTGGTCAATTGCCTCCCCAAGATGATTGGAGAAAACTGTTCCGCAATCAATGTCAGTCCCTGCTTTCAACGCAACAGCGCTGGCATGGGCCAACGAAGTCGAGTACTTGTGATCATTGTGAATAACGCCAACAGCACCGCAGTCCGAAACGATCCACGTTTCGTTCCCGAGTCCATAAAATTCTCGAATGACACGCTGAAGCAAATAAGGACTCGCACAGGATGGAATACCGTTGACCGAATTATAACTGCACATGACCGAGGCCACTTTGGCATCACGCACGCAAGATTGGAAGGGTGGGGAATAGTACTCTGCCAAATCCTGTTGGGTGACGATGGCGTCAAAGTTGAAACGGTTGATTCCTCCCCAATCTTCGAGGTCGTATGCGGCAAAGTGCTTGCAATCAGCAGCAGTCTTGAGGTACGGTTTGGGATCAACACCGCCTTGCAGTCCAGTAACGAGGCTGTAGACATAGCGGGAGAGATGATAAGGATCTTCCCCAGGCGTCTCTTGTCCACGACCCCAACGGGGATCCTTGAATGGATTAATGTTGGGTGTCCAAAAGTCTAGACCCCCATGGCCAAAATTATTGAAAGCACGAGCCTCGGTGCTCACAATATCGGCGACAGAATGCACTAACTCGTCATCGAAAGTTGCACCCATCAATATGGGCTGGGGAAAGGAGGTCGCGTGACTGAAGTCGGAATTTGGAGGATCGAACCAGACGCCTGGACTCCAAGCGACTCCATGCTAGAACAAAACATGAGACTCAGGCTTGAAACTACGCGTTTGTAATGTGAGAGGACGTACAAGCGCCTCATTCCACCAATTATACGCAGGAAGTCCAAGCCGTTGCACGCCAGGAGAGGCATGGACGGAGTTGTTTATCAGCTCTTCCACGGTGAACTCGGAGACGAGGGCCTTTGCGCGGTCTAAGTAATGAACCGACGAATTGCACACCAAATTAGACGCCAGAGGACCACCTGTGCAATCAGGGAATCCGGCGAATGAAAGGGCTACATAAGTAGGTATAATTAGAAGTCGTACCCTTGGGAGTAAACAAAGGCAGTGCATACCATGATAATGCGATAATGGCACTTGGAAGACAGAAATGCCTTGCATAAGGACGAAGGCCTGTATTCAGGCTGGGGTTCCAAGGTGGTTGTGGAGGAGATTCTCACATCGCGGGTCGCGGGTCGCGTGATGGCGCAACTGTCCCTGACAAATTCATTTATTCAATTGTTACATAATTATGTCACAATTAATCTATACGATCTATTTAATTTGTTAACCTTGTTATCACGTGGCAGTTCAACGGAGTGGCTGTGGATATGTACTTACGCCTTGAGACTCGCTTGGACAATGCAGTGGAACAATTGGAGACGGAGGTTCGGAATCCCCTGACCGGTCGGACCCGGGCCTCGAGGACGCTTGAATAGCGGATGCAAACTTGCTGACAGGAACATCGTTGACGGCACCTACGGCACACCGGGATAAGAGGCCCTTCGGGATTACCCCAGGATCGCCTCAACTGTCGCGACATTCGCCTGCCATAAGTGAGCATCGTGGGTGAGATGGATGGGTATTTTCTGCTCTCTGTTTGACACTGACATCTCTCGCTTTGATTCCGCGTTGTGTATTGTGTATTCAGGGCGGTGCCACTAGTAACTACCTGGCCAGGCTGGCGCTTCTGCAAGCAGCGCGCAGAGTGAAGGGAATCATCCTCAAGACCAACGGTCCGTCATCGAGGACATCCAGTGGATATGCCCTCCGTCGTCTGGCTCCTGTCTCTACTACTTTGGGCCGGCCCTTGTACGTACTAAATTTATGCAAGTCCACTTGATCTCAACAACGCCCACAAACACTTCTCTTCAGCCGTGATTATCGCTGCCTCCCCGGCTTTCCCGGATTGTTCGAATGGTCCACTTTCCTCCAACCTCGTATGCAATTCTTCAGCCAACTACTTTGACCGCGCCAAAGCTCTTGTGGCCGCGCTTACCCTCGAGGAAATAATAAACAACACCGCCAATGGTGCTCCTGGTGTCCCTCGTCTTGGAATTCCCCCGTACCAATGGTGGAGCGAGGCTTTGGTACGTCGTGTTTTATACTTCTGGGAAGGGTTGTGAAAAGTTCTACTTTTAGCACGGTGTTGCAGGGAGCCCGGGGTCACATTCAATGGAACCCCGGGCACAAACTTTTGTTCCGCTACCTCATTTCCGCAACCAATCTTGATGAGTGCGGCGTTCGATGACGATTTGATTTATCAAGTTGCTCAGGTGGTCAGCACCGAAGCTCGCGCTTTCAATAACGAAGGACTCGCTGGATTGGACTATTTCACTCCGAATATCAACCCATTCAAGGATCCGCGGTGGGGTCGCGGACAGGAAACTCCGGGGGAGGATCCGTACCATATCTCGCGCTATGTGTATCAACTTATCATCGGGTTACAAGGTGGCCTCAACCCACAACCTTATTTGAAAATCGCCGCCGATTGCAAGCACTTTGTTGCATACGATCTTGAATATTGGTACGGATTTAGTCGCTTTAACTTCGATGCCAACGTCACCCTACAAGACCTGGCCGAATACTATACACCTTCCTTCCAATCTTGTGTTCGTGACGCCAAAGCTGTTTCTGCCATGTGCAGCTATAACTCCATGAATGGTCTCCCTACCTGCGCAAATTCGTACCTCCTCCAAACTATTATACGCGATTTCTATGGACTCGGGGAAAACCAGTGGATTGTTAGCGACTGCGATGCAGTGGACACGATCGTTTCGGGTCACAATTTCACGAGCTCACTTGCCAACGCGTCTGCGCTTGCTTTGAAGGCTGGAACAGACCTCGACTGCGGTACTACGTATGCTCAGAATCTTGGTCAAGCTCTAAATCAATCCCTTGTAAGCCAAGCGGGTATTGAGACTGCCCTAACCCGTTTATATGCTTCGTTGGTTAGGTATGCCGGTTGATCATGATGCCTGGTTTGATTCTGAATGGATACGTAGATTGGGATATTTTGACCCAGCCTCTTCCCAACCCTACCGGCAATTAGGATGGGACAACGTGAATACACCAGAGGCTCAAGCCCTTGCATTCACCGTTGCCACAGAAGGGATGGTTCTTCTCAAAAACTCTGGTATTCTCCCTCTATCAAGAGGTACTCGCACGATTGCTGTCATTGGGCCCATGATGAACGCCACGACTCAGATGCAAGGCAATTACCAAGGCACTTCGCCTTTCCTCACTAGTCCTCTCTTAGCATTCCAATCGTTAGGTTTTGGATTTAACGTGCTGTCGGCGCAGGGAACTGGGATCACGAGTGATATTGACGGTGGGACTACGACTGCGCTTGCTGCAGCCACCTCGTCAGACGTTGTGATTTACATTGGGGGGATAGACAATTCGGTAGAAGCGGAGGGTTTGGATCGGACGAACATCACTTGGCCAGACAATCAGCTGAACCTGTTGGCACAACTCATTGCGACGGGGAAACCTCTGATTGTCGTTCAGATGGGAGGTGGTCAATTAGACGATACGCCGCTAGTCCAAAGTGATGCTGTGAGTGTCTGGAACGATGTTTGGAAACCGGACAAGGTTCGATCACCCTGAGATGTTTAGGTAAAAGCTATTCTGTGGGCTGGATACCCTGGCCAGAGTGGCGGCATAGCCATCGCGCATCTCATTGTAGGCTTGAAGGCACCTGCGGGCAGGCTTCCGATCACGCAATACCCGGGCAATTACGTGAACCAAATTCCCATGACTAACATGAACCTCCGACCCGACTCATCAACTAATTCCCCTGGCCGTACGTATAAGTGGTACGGCGGCACACCAGTGTTCGAATTTGGCTTTGGGCTCCATTATACCACTTTCGATGTCTCTTGGGATAATAATGGTGCACCAAAATCGACGTACAGTATTTCGTCCCTTATCTCGGCTGCGGGAAACGTGAAATATCAGGACCTTGCCTTGCTCGGGTCCTTCTCTTTGGACGTAAAGAACACGGGCAACGTTACATCCGATTATGTAGCCCTCGTTTTCATGCAAACGAGCGCAGGACCCTCCCCCGCTCCGCTCAAACAGCTCGTGTCTTATGCGCGGGCTCAAAATATATCGCCTGGTCAAACGCAGACTTTGTCGCTCAATATTACGCTAGGTTCGTTGGCTCGAGTTGAGCAGAACGGTGATAGTAACCTGTACCCTGGGTCTTACGACCTTTGGGTTGATACCACACCAAATCGGATGGCTAACACTTCTTTTACTTTGACTGGAGATAGGACCCGGGTCATTGCATGGCCCCAGCCAAGTTAATATAGCTGAATGGGAGGGGATTTGTTTTGATTCCTATAGATCTATAGAGAGAAGGAACTTTCTGATTTGACTGATTGCAACTCACATAATTACGTATACATCATCCATGTGCCATCACTTGTTTTTGCATTTTAGGTAACGGACTTTGCTTTCATCTCATCTGTATCGTTACGTGCGAACGTTCGCATGTAGCCTTGGACCGATAATCATCATGCAGCGTCAAAGTCCAAATACTCTCACGCTCCCCAACTGTGTTATAGCGCGGGTGTACACATAATAGATGACATTTGGAGCCAGCGCTTCGACTCAAGGAGTGAACGGGTATGCCAATGGGTCCCTAGCTTTCGAGTGGATCCTTCAGGTGCGATTGCAAGCCAGACTTGGGGAGAGAAGATTTGGTCTGTCATGCATTGTAATCCTGCGGGTGCCTGTATATACACATGGGAACGAAGCCTCAACTCTGCGCGACTTGGCGGTTCTCTTGGAATTCGCGTCTACTTGACTTTATGACCCTCAATGCTAACAAGAGACGCGGCTCATATGTCCCCCTCGTGCTCTTCGTGAGACTTGGCTGATAATCGTATCCGCATGTCCCACCAAGATGGTTCTGCAAGCTGTTTGTGCCCAGAAAAATTTCCCACATCCGAGCCCGCCGATCAATTCATCACTGTCTGGGCCAGCTGCCCTGCTTCATGGGATTCCTGAGTAGCTGTTCCTGTAACCCTGTTGCCCAAGCTTCGTGGAACCTGAACTGACACGCAGCGCGCATGCGGCTTGTGTATATCAAGATAATTTTCCGAAGTATTCCGGGTCCATGACAAGGGACGCGTCAATGTTCTCTGCCCGCGCAATATACATATACAGCGCAACCGTAGTCATGGGCTCTTACAGGTGAAGGCAAAAATCACTCGCCCCTCGCCAAAAGTCCGAGGATCCATGGCTTGTAGTCACCGGCAGTTTCCGGTCCTCGATTTGCATATCAGATATGAAAGAATGATCAATCAAGGCACGCACTTTACGGTGAGGCGGCGTGTCCTTGTTAACAGCGCACTCTGCTGCTTCTTGGACGGAGAATAGGATTCGTGGTGCAGGATCGGTACCGGTTCTTGCCAAGTGGCCTACAGCCGCTTCGTATCGAGTAGATTCTCACGCCCGTTCCTCCTAGAATTGTAACATGAGATAAACTGTAAATGAAGACATCAAGTAATGATGTTGTTATGTAAGTAATGCATATACTGAAGACGGAACTGAACGGATGGGTACACCTTGATATTGATTGATGGTCCGGTGCAACGCATCTGGACTTGCAAATGTCTAATCCGTTGTTTCAACGCCAGACTGTGTTGGATGGTGATCTCAAACACATCACTCCGAAAATTGCTCGGTTGTCATATTGTCCCTATTTATTGTTTTATCGATTGTGATGTGGGTTGATCGGCCTTCGTTAGTCGTTCCGCTTTCCGACTTGCAAAAACGGGTTGCTCGGACGACCTGAGGTGAGTGTAAAGAAGGCTGTACTCACAATAGGACCAGCAGCAGCGGCAGGTGTTGCGGCCAGGGACTGTCAGAAACGGTGTCGTTTTGTTTCTTTGTGTGCCTGAATGAAGTCATCCATTCTTCCCTAATCTATTGACCTCCCAATCCCTGCGTGGGCCAATCGGATCCGCGGTTTAATGAATAATGTGCCCAACCTTGGAGGTGCTCTTCACTGACAGTGTTTACACCTTGCATGCGGTTGCCTAACAATGAGGATTGCTTCCTCATATCGCGCGCGGCATGCGTGACCGAGGGCGGCATAAAGAGAAGCTTATTGTGCAGCGAAACAGCTTATCGAATTGGGTCAAGTTCGATTCAGAGTTGGACCATTTGAAATCGGGTTGGTCATATGTCCGCGTGTTATCTAAGAGCTTGCCAAATATAGCAGAAAATCAAATACCTTGATGAGCATGAGAGGGGTTTTTTCAAACGAGCGCCAGCTTAATTGTTCTCGCCCGAGTCACTCGTTTTCCAGTGCCCAGCCCGCAGGCTTTAGCTCTGGTGAGGAAGTCCATAGGGAAGGATCGAAATAGGGGGTTCAAAAGATATAGAGAGCCGGGAGTTGATCATCATCTGAGAGCGAAAATGCTTGATGGAGCTTCCATTCATAGCAAAATTGGTGTGTGACTCAAAAAAGAGCGGTCAGGCACCACTAGTTGTGTTGTCGAAAGCACAACGAAAGCATCCCATCTCACGCAGCCAGTCATTTCGATGCCAAACTATAAGCCGTGTTGCTACCCAGCCTTGCGCGTAACAGCAAATGACAGCAAAGTCGCACCAGGAAAATCGTAGCTATCCCCGTTTTGCATCCGAAAGTGAATTGCTTAGCTAAGCACACATTCGTTCCTGAAGTGACTGCCTGGGGCATATGTCTACTGTTCCCTTTTAACTGAGCTCGAAGACGACCACAGTTGTGAAATGGACCGTAGACCTGGGACATCAACCGGTCGACCTAGGACAGCCGCTGGGCCTGATACTGCTTTTACAGACTATTCTTACGAGTCGTATCCTGTGCCCTCAACTGCCTACGAGGATGATTATTATGACCCACAGGCTTCCGACGTTCCACAGTACCAGCAGTATGATGGAGATTTTTACGGAGAAGAGGAGGAAGAAGAGGAATCTGAAGAGGAGGACGTCTTCGCGTACCTCCCACCCTCAACGGCTGATCAGATTCAGGCTCAGCAAGAGCAGTTAGCTGGACAGCAGGCACAACAACAACAGCAGCTCTCCTCTAACTTTACTGAGCGGCAATCCCCTATCGATCTTGGCGTAGAACTACCCGAGTATTCTCAACCATTCTCTTCACAATCCCTTACGGACCGAAACAACCCTGATCCTGCACAACCCCTTTCAGTTGCACCAGCTCCTCAAGCCCCTACGTTCTCTGTCAACCCTTTCTCGAAAAACTCATTCGTACATCCCCCTCAGCCCACTTCTCTGTCTGCTACGTCTTCAAGCGCCGTGTCGGATGGAAGCACTTTTGATCAGATTTACGGCCCTGACGCCTATAGAATGCGCCCGTTCAACACCCGCCCTCCTCCCGCCCTATCGAATTCTTCAAACAGTGCCCCTACTCCACTTTCTCGCGCTATACGTGCCGCCGACTCTGGGAACGGAGGAGGGGGTCACTTTCCTCATGCTATCCAAACCCCACGGTCCGCAAAAGAAGTGCGAGTCGACTTGCCGTCCCGTGGCCCATCCACATCTCCAGAAGATGGGTCTCCGGTAGGTACTAGGGGCATTAATGGCCTTCCGAATGCTGCTCGTCAGGATAGAGACAGCAGAGGCAATCCCCAAGATGTCCCGGCTTCGCTGAGCGATGATAGATATAGCTCCTTGAGTAAAGAGATCAATGTAGATGGTACTCCCTCGATGACGCGCAGGAAACGGAGTATCGGACGCGGCATGCGTAAACCCACTCTCGACTCACTGGGTGTTTCGGAGTTGAGCGGGATGCCAGGGGAAGACTATTATGATGATGAGGACGATGACACTCGTGGAAAGGCCTCTACCTCTTACACGGATCCAGAACAACATTTGCATCCCCGCCACCACCTGCATCATCACAGCAATGGCCAAGCCATCCAATCGAACATGGTTCCGTATTATCCTTCATATTTCGACGGCGAACTCGAGGAAGAGGAGGAAGACAGTCCATACCCTGAAGTTCGAGCCTCAGTGTCGAACATTGATGACCCCGAAATGCCCGTTCTGACTGTACGGATGTGGATTCTTGGGTTGACGCTGTGTGTGGTCGCCGCTTCGGCCAACACGTTCTTCAACTTCCGATTCCCAGCCCAATTCATTGCCCCTACAGTGCTACTACTCATTGCACATCCATGTGGCAAATTTTTGGCGTATTCAATGCCAATAAATGTGTACACGCTGCGATTGCCATTATGGCTGAATCGAGTGCTATTCTGGAAGGATAGCAATATGCCAATCGAGTATGAAATAAATCTTAATCCTGGGCCATTTAACATCAAGGTAAGTGTTGAAATCTGCATTCGTCCTGAAGTTGTTAAGGTACTGACGATGGTGATTACTTCGTAAAGGAACACGTTTTAATTTATATCATGACAAACGTGTCCGTCTTTCCCGCATACGCTATGAACGCTGTTGTTGTTGCAGATCTCTACTATGGTATACGTCGGGGTTTTGGGTTGGTCTTCCTACTTGTTCACTCCCCCCTGATCTGACTTATATCTTCTGTTTGTGAATCATCAGTTTCAATATCCTTGTAGTTTTAGGTAATCAACTTGCCGGATTCGGTATCGCAGGGATATGTCGTCGATTTCTTGTTTGGCCTGCTTCGCTGATTTGGCCGCAAAATCTTGTGGCATGTACGCTGTTGAACACCCTCCATGCAGAGGACGAGGAACAGAGTCAAGGTATGACTCGGTATCGGTTCTTTTTGTACGTCAGCATTGTAGCGTTCTTTTATGTTTTCTTGCCTGGTAAGTTCCTTTTTCGTTGGAGCGTAAGCCTTACAGCACCGACTTAACTGGCTGCTAGGTTTCTTGTTCCAAGCGTTGTCAGTGTTCTCGTGGGTGTGTTGGTTCAAGCCAAGTAAGCCGTTGTGATTGTCGCTCTAGAGTGTATGAGCTTTATTCGTCGCTTTAGACAACGTACCTATCAACCAGCTTTTTGGTGTCCAATCTGGCCTGGGAATGGGCATCTTGACGTTCGATTGGAACCAGATCAACTTTCTCGGCTCCCCATTGATGGTTCCATGGTGGGCCGAAGTCCATATCATGATAGGCTTTGTGATCATGTATTGGATCATTGGGCCAATTCTTTACTACACAAACGTGAGTCATTTGCATCCCTCTGAGTGAGGTCTGATGGAATCATTCTTTTCAACTCAGTTTTGGCATTTTGCGCACCTTCCCATGTTGGGCAGCCAACCTTACGACCGTTATGGAAAACGGTATAATGTTACCCGTGTACTCTTTCCTGGTAATCACACTCTCAATCAGGAGGCATACAGTACCTACTCCCACCTTTACCTTCCCCTTAACTATGCCTTTACATACCTGCTTTCATTCGCATTGTGTACATGTGTGCTCGTGCACACGGCTCTATACCATGGACCAGCGCTGATCAGTGGATTGAAGAGAGCCAAGGTAGAGGATGATGATGTTCACGCCAAACTGATGAGGTATTATCCAGAAGTCCCAGATTGGTGGTATGCGCTAGTGTTCTCGTTCTTCTTCGTTATGGGGTTATTGGCAATTGCGGTGTGTCGCGGTGTCTATTCCTATTGATTTGTTAGCTGACGTGAAGTATGTGATGCGTTAGCTGTTTCATACTGGTGTACCTATTTGGTCGTTACTTGTTGGTGTGACACTGCCGCTACTATATGTGCTCCCCGCGGGTTTCGTGTATGCATATACGGGCCAATCGGTAGGAAACTCGATGCCACCTAGCCTTGCGTTAGTCGCTGACGTGTGGATAGGTGTCCATTAATGTAATCTCTGAGGTGCTGGCCGGTGTTCTCTTCAACGGCAAACCTTTCACCAACATGGTACGCGGCGCAACATTGAGTTATGAAACCGTGTCTGATATGTGTTTTTAGATGTTTAAAGCATATTCCGTACAAACAATCGTTGTCGCCATCAACTTCATTCAAGATTTGAAACTTGGTCATTACATTAAAGTCCCTCCCAGAGCCACCTTCACCGGTTTGTCGCGACCAATTTAAGATGATTAGGGTCTCACTGAATTGTCTACGTAGCTCAAATCGTTGCGACAATGTTAACGGCCGTGGTTCAGGTTGCGACTCAGGCTTGGCTATTCAGTCATGTACCCGACATATGCTCAGCCAACCAGAGGGACCACTTGACATGTCCGCAAACTTCGGTATATTATAGTGCGTCTGTGATATGGTGCGGTTTTCCCCTTGGGACACCTCATCTTCCTAATCTTGATCACTCCATTTTTGGCTAGGGGGGTGATTGGGCCGACGCGACAGTTTGGGCCGGGGGCTTTGTATAAGCCAGAACTGTATGCGGTCTTGTTCGGCGCGTTGTTACCTATTCCTTTCTGGTTGTGGCAACGTCGTTATCCGAAAACTATACTGAAGACGATCAGTATGCCGGTATTAGTGAACGGACCCGTGTTGATACCCCCCGCGGTAGGCATCCACTTCTCATCCTGGTTCGTCGTCGCTTTCATCTTTCGTAAGTTCACAGCCTATTGAACATGGCCCGTAAATGATCATTGATGGCTTTTTCTTCAGAATATCTCGTACGGCGACGGAACTTCCGGTGGTGGTCGAAGTTTAACTACATTCTGAGCTCGGCATTAGATTCAGGTATGGGTTCTTGACATACCTGTGATTTCTCTGTTCCTCACTTTGTGATCAAGGCACACTTATATCACTCTTGTTTATCTTTCTGACCCTCCAGTTCCCAAAGGGTGGCAGAATCTCAGTGAACTGGTGGGGTAACAAAGTTTTCGCAGACAGTAAGCGAGCTTTCTTGTACCAAGTTCCAAGGCTTAATACTCTTTTTTCTTTAGCTGTTGATGGACGGGGTGGTGCTGCATTACTGCTAACTGGTCCAGAGGGATTCGACTAGATTATATTCCCACTTCCCTTGTTACTCATCTCTGTACCTCGTATACTTTGCCGCATACTTTCGCCGCATACTTTCGCTTCATTCGTTGCTCCTCTGTTGTGCACCGCGGACGCAAATGTTTCGATTTTTTTTTTTGGTTCATTTATGTTTTCTCTTGTGGTACCGTCTTTGTTGCGTCGGGCATGAATAACAGTAGAGTATCAGTGGTGGCGTGCATGCATTTGGGGGTGTTAATTGGTGTTGACCAACACAGCATCGGGTATATTACATATTACATGAATCCTGTTAGAGGAATGTAACCGCCTTGTGAACGAATCAGAAAACTGGGGTGATCGATACGTGAAGGCGTCTTTCGAGTCCACAAACCACAAAATCTTGATCCGCTCGATCTAGAGTAAATGTGATCCACCTATACCTAATGCGCTTCCTCATTAGTCATATCATTATATTTCACTCAGACATGCATGTCTGAGTGTTTCACGTCCCATCCTAAAGAGGAAGGTGCCTTGGCCGTGAGCACCTTTCGAAGGGAGAATCTGCTATGTTGGAGCTGAAAAAAGGCTGCCGCACATTTACTGTATATAACTGTTTACCTAAACGCCTCATGTTGGACGCCCTCCACAGCGACCCAGGAATACTGTGGACAAACCTTCGTCTCAACCACAACATCGCGTTAGCGGTAGCAAAATTCCTCGCACTCTCATGTAGCCACCGTCAACGACGACCGCGTTTTCGATTTATCCTAGCTAGCTGCTATCCCACTCAAGGGACATCCCTTTATCAAATTCCTCCGCCGTTCCCTTCTTCAGACACTCAACCCTTCCCCATTCCTTTCTCATTCCTTATATGAAACTAGCCGAACCGCCTTCGGCTTGTTCCGAAGCCGATAAGCGCCCATCATCTGATGCAATGACAGATACAGTCGAACTACAATGAGCTGATTAGCATGAGAAACAACTGCTATTACAATGTGCCACTGCACACAAAATCCCAGTACAAAACACTACAGTCGCTTCAAATGAGAGAAATGCTGTCACATTCTCTTCTTCTCGTAGTGTCTCCGGAGGTGTAATCAGTCGGGGCAGAAGGGGAGGATGACAGAATTTCGTCAGACTGAGAACCCACCCAACCTTCGGCTGGCTTCGGACATGAGTAGAACTGCGTTGTATCTGAGAGTGAAATCCTAAATACAGTGGTACAAATAGGAAGACACTTCTGGAAACCCTATAGCCACCTGAGGACATGCAAGCACAGATGTTGGTGACGGAAAAAACGAAGACACATGGCAAATGGGACGATGATTGCAATGATTCGATGATAGATGCTGAGAGTGAGCCCACAATTCACACCTTTAATGTCCCTCTTCCATTCAGTCATCGAGCCATACAGCGTTTATTTCAGCGGTCTCTGCTTAAACCTTCAATGCCAACTGCTCACTGTCTCAGCCAGGGTCATGTGGCTGAACCATGAATCGAACGATTAATCCATACTTTGTTAAGCCCTCCAATGGGGATCATACCTGGCTATCTGAGGCCGGGAGATGTGTGGAAGCAGAGCGGTTCTCTCAACCGCCAAGAGCATTCAATCTGGAAATCGCTATGTTGGTCAAAAATGAGTCTTTCGATGCACCATTGCAATTTTACACGAGTGTTTGATGTCTCTGTAATAGCAGCATGTCGCCAACACCCTCCGCTTTCCAGAAACACACAAAACACTACCGAACTGAAGGTAGCAGTACAATGATAGGAGGACGAAGGTCAAGTGAGCAAATGAGAGAAAGCCAGGGGAGCCAACTTTGATCCAGCCATCAGCATATACAATGAATATAATGCACCAGGGAGCTAATTCACCAATCATCGACTACGATACCAGTGATGCACTGAACATCACCAGAAAAGTTGAGACGGAGTTGTGAACGGAGTAATACGCTGCATGTAAGTGAGCAAATCGGAGCGGTGTGGGTGAAAGGATGACGTCAGATACACCGTGCCGTATAAAAGGCCTGAGAGGAGAGAAGAAACAGAGACGCAAGCAAGTTAGAGACCCTCAGCACCGATTAGGTAAGATGGAGCAGCCAATCAAATCGGTTCAAAACCTGGCTTCGGGGTAAACCGAGCCAATCAGATCTCGTAGATGACCCTCGGCGATTATTTATTAGTTAGATATGTGCGCACAAGCCTCCCTCACTGGTCACGAAAACCCGACAGGTTCAGGAGCAGAGTTCCCTGCTCCCGAGCGCTCCCGAGTACTGGAGCACTCGAGAGCACCTGTCGGGTTTTCCTGACGCTCCATCTATCTCATCCTCGCATCATGTCATGTATGATACTGATAAGCACGGTCACGTACTCTAAAAACACACCATCTGCATATGTTTGCAGGGAAGCATTTCCGGAGACTGAAGCTCGGATGCTTGATTGGTGATAACAATGGAGAAGATTATAATAATGAATTGCAGATGCGTATTGACGAGGTGCGAACAATCACTAAGATTCGTCCAGGATTGACTCCGCCCGTAGGTATGAGAACACCGATGAGATTAATGCATACTTGAAATGAAGGTCGTATTTCGTCCTTCGGTTTAGTAAGCTGTCCGACGCTATGCGTCAAGCAATGAACGAGCGCGAGCGAGCCTTAACACATTCCCTAAGCCTAATCAGAGAGCATCTTCTAAAAATTGGATACCATGCGTCCTGTAGTTGAAGTCCAAAGTAATTTTCGCTGTTCTGAGAACATTTGATATGCGAATCGAGAATGATAATGTGTCCATGGTGCGGGTAATGCGGAGCCGGTACAGGAAGGTGATATGCCGATATTTCCATTGGCTGAACTTGTAAACTCACGAAGGATATTCACTAAAAGAGGGAAACGTGAAGTGAGACGGGGAGGGCACCTTCACGAGGCACATTAGTTTCGCCGATCTCCAGGAACGTCGGGTGCGTGATTCCTTGAGGGATATTGGTCGGCCCGGGATGAGAACTAGGCTTTGAGCTCCGTGAAAATGCGATGAGGTGATTATCCTGGCGTACAGGTCTTGGCCAACAAGGAATGGCAAATACAAAAGAGCCGGTCTCTGGAACTCATGGGTGCAGCTACAAGGGGTCCAGTAATTCATCTCTTCCAGATCCGATAAATGAGGCTACGGTGCATGAAGGCGGGACCCAAACCGTTTAGACGAGAAAACCTTTAAGTCGCGTTCGGTAGCCGCCCTTCCATTTGGGAAACGAAAGAGATCGTTGTAGTATTTTTCCCATAATGGAACAACATCACTTCCTTCGAGGACGAGTAGACAGAATAGAAATCGAAGTTGCGCGGCCGATTTGAGGTCTGCAATTGCATTTTGCATTGCCAGAATCCCTGTTTCTTTTCCTTGAAATAGAGCTACTGATTCTATGCAGCCGTCGTCGGACGCTTGCGGCGTGGGCTACATTATGCATGTAATTAGACTAATGTCATCTTTGACGAAGGCTGCATAGAATCAGCCGGGTGTCCAGTAATAAGAACGGTGCACATGGATAAACTAGACGACGCCACGAACTTGTCATTGATCACTTGGGTAATGAGATTGCCTCGTATGAACAGGACATCGCCCATGGCGATTTAGTACTGCACTGCCAATGTAGAGTCTTGCGAGTACTGGAACCGAAATTATACTCACCGGGAACATATTATTGTAACGGATGCATAACCTCCAAAATAGTTAGATTACACGTCATGGTTCGGCACACCGTTACATAATGGATGTCAGCTCTCACTAATCCAATAGCAGTTGAATGGGAGGTAGAAAACTTGATGTTGAAACGCGTCAATCAAAACTCCGGACATCATCAGCCGATTGACCGCGATATATCACTTAGCATCCCCAGAAATCGACAGTCCGAAAGAAAGCCGATCCATTCTGAACAAACCCTCCAACACCGATCCTTGACCCGTAAAAACTCAGCGTTAAGTAACGTTGTCACCCTAAAGGGCGAAACTTGAGCCAACCAGAGTGACCCTTCAAGTGCGACGCTTGAGCCAATCAGAGAGGAGAAACCATTGCATCCGGTTCCCACGGCTTCCGGGAGTTGCCGGAAACTGTCAATCAATTCAATCCCGTTGATTCTTAATTCAGTCCAAAGTCCTCGCGTGACGCCTGACCGGTCGTTGGCGTGCCAAGCACAGCTAGTACAGCCTTTTCTAAAATTTCTGTCCAATCCAAGTGAATGGGTATTGACCCCGTTCCTAAAAAATCACCCAAATTTTTCTCGTATTTTTATTCTTCAATACAGTCGCCCGCACAGCCATACCCATTCCCGACGACTATGTCATACAAGCACGATCTTAGCTATTATGTTCTCAACAAATGCCCACTGGAATGATGACCATGTCATGAGATTAGCCCCACTCTCCTGAAAACACCCCAGCAAGCATTCCAATAGTACCTGCTGATGTACGTGAAACCTCGTTGGCATGCGGGTTGCTCAATGCCAATGTCGCACAAATTACGGAACGAAAGGAACACATCTCCCCATTCATTCATTGTAGCTTCGCGTGACACCAGTTGGTGATACTTAGACAAAGAAGGATTGGCGCCATGGTTCCGCCTCAGCAGTGCCTGCAGCATGCAGGGGGGTGGCTTGGTGGCTATACTGAGGCCAACTGGCTTTGGCTTCACGTGAGTGTGCAAGCCAGCCGCAATCGGACTGAACGACTGACCCCCCCCCCAGTGCACACCCAAGACGCATTCTTCTCCAATCCCTTAGGGTACTTTCGCTCTTTGTTACGTCCAAGTCATATGATCAGGTCGCTTCTTTGGACGGCTATCCTTTCTTATGTGGGGTATAAGGTGTTATGGATCCTCCTTCGACGTTACCTTATCAGTAGGACCACGGTGCTTCATGACATTGAGCTCTTGGGAAAAGCCCCACCTGCTCAGAAAATCCCAGGAACGGTCGTTGTCGCTGGAAGAAGGTGAGTGATCCCCTTCTCTCGGAGCTCAACAGTCTTCTCTACCCAAAACACATGTTGCTGAGCAAGACCATTGTTTCAGTTTGTCCGGATACGTTTCTGCAAGAATTTTGGCCGATTACTTTGAGAAAATCGTTCTGATCGACCCTGATACAAGTGTAACGGCTGTTGGAAGAGTACCACAACGTTCTCACTTCCACGTTGTCTTGGCCATCTCTCTGACAATCCTTCGTAAACTCTACACGAGCTTTGACAGTGAGGCGCCAAAGGATGATGTTTACATATTTCCTGGATTGAGACACTGGTGGATTGGTAGGAACTACTTTGGCGACCTCAAATCAAAGAGGCCAGATCAAATCAGTGGCTCCCGAATCTCGTAAGCTTATAGTAGTCATTTGTATCCCTTTTTGCTGAAACTGGACCGTGACCTTCCCAGAGTTGAACGTCTCTGTCGGCGCTTGTGCAATGCATACTGCGGTGACCAGCTTCAAGTCATTCAGGGAACCGTCACCGGCATTACAGCTTCACCCGACAAAGCAACAATCCATTCCGTTTCTTACCGCCCTGCCTCGGATGCCCCCACGACGGCTCCAAGTACTTTACTATGCGCACTCTTTGTGGATTGCTCTGGCGCATCAACAATCGGTGCCAAGTTATTGCCAGCAGCCTGCGAGAAATGGGGCCCTTATGGTCGCGCTTCGTATAATCCGAACGTGAAATACTACACCACGTCCTTCCCCCTTGCTCCCGAAACGCAAGAGAAGGTATCGAAGGCATTGCCTCAAGACGATCGGTCGTTCGGGAGGTGGGAAACTTGCACCGTCATTGGTGCAGTTTCGCCAACACCTGAAAGTGGCCGAGACCTTTTCGGTTATCAGCGAATTGAAGGGAATAGATGTGAGTCATTTCTATAAGAGTAGGCTCGATTTCTCTGACATTTTTTAATGGCAGTGCTCGTTGGGTATTCTGGGTGGAATATCGACACATGTCCTAGGACTTTGGCTCAGTATATTGAAACAGTGAGACAATTGTACAACAAAAGCATCCCTAGCTCGCGCCACCACCGAGATGAATGGTTTTTCGAGCTGTTACGACTCATTGGAGAAGATGCAGATAACCTCGACGAACCTATCAAGTGGGATGCTCACACCATGGTAAGGTGGCCCACTTTCTTGCGACATGAGACAGATACTGAGCATCTACATCTACCAGACTTCCTGCTATTGGATTGACTATGCGTCCAAACCTATCCCAAACAATTTTATCGCCGTTGGTGATGCCTTGATGGGTAGGTCTCACCTCACCGAAACAACCAACCACCCTTCATGCTGACTTCCTTACGAAGGAGTAAACCCAATTTTCGGGCAGGGCGTGACCAAACTCTTGGGCAACGCCACGGTTCTCAATGCTACCTTGCATAAAGCAACAAAGTCTTCGAAGAAACTACAGTTGTTGCCAGGCTTTGCTCATTCGTACTTCGAGCGTGTACTTCGTATCGACAGGGGCATGTTCGATACTAACCGTCTTCTGGATTATGGTTACGATTCTACAATACCCCAGCCTGGAGAAACGTTGGAGACAGGAAAAACCTTCAGGAAATATTGGGAGGCGCTAGTCAATTTCGTTGCTCATGTAAGGCTTCTCTTTCGCTGCAGATTGTAACAAAACTTAAGAATATGGTGTCTGTTAGGATCCAACTGGATACGAGATCTTTAATAATGCGTTATGCGGATTCAGCCCCGGGATAGATTTGATGAGTCCTTCGTTTGTCCTCAAGTCGATATTTTGGTTGTGGTGGTCCCCCCTAGGGTCTTCCTAGATCTACCTTCTAGATCAATTCGCTCTTTTGGTTTGGCTACGTTAGAACTCTGGAGGCATAGTTTCCACATTGTCAGCTAGGGTTCCAGCGATGTCAGCCTACTTGCGCACCATGTTTAGCTTGGAGAAATGCCAGGATATGTGACATTCCATACCTCGAATGAACCTACCTCCACCCACTGCGCACAGACTTTCGCGGACCTTTCAGTGTCATATCATTCATGTGTCACTCCAAAAGTTGTGAAGCTGGAAACAACGCAGCCCGATTCCTAATCCATTCCCTTCTCGCTCTCAATATTGGTTTTTACAGTTCCCGGCCACGCCTTGATATTGGTGCCACTACGATAACGTAGTGACCCGATGTTCCATCAGACTCCTTCGACTTTCAACAAGTCATTGATATTAGGGATAGGCGAAGGGGAATGTAAGGGAAGCCCCTCTGTCACAATGTTGACAGCCGCACTTCCTCGCGGTGGTGATCGCCCCATCCAAGGTGCACACTTATCGCCGCGAGAATGCACCTGAGACAACACCCCGCAAATGGGGAGGCAATATTGATTGCGTTATTGGCTGATTTAGTCCTCCCCCACCCGACGATGGATCAGCCACATGTTAACATTATTGGGTACCCCAGTAATATCTAGTTCGATCGTTTTAATTCGCCTTGTAGCCTCTGGGCAGGTCTCCTTGTGGCTTGCACAAGTCTCTGATACATCACACTTGTACTTCTGCATTGAAATGACCCAAATAAGCTGACGGGCTGCTCTCACCGATATCCACTCGGTCTCATCCCCGAAAGAAATATTTCTGCACGCAACATCGTGGCACACACACCCCATACACAACGAATCCCAAAGCTTCGGTACGGCGTGAGCTCTACGCCTCCCAGCACCCCAGAGGGTCGGTTACTATATGCAGGACTTGGCTTAAAACTGCATTTGTTCCATCAGAGTCACCAGATACCAAATCACACCCGGGGATACAAATAGGGGCTCCTTGTTCGATGCGACGTTCTTTTCGAAGTGTCCTCTTTACTTTCTCCAAGCCATATGACCAGGCGCTTCTTTGGACGGCTATCCTTTCTTACGTGGGGTACAAAGTGTCATGGAACCTCCTTCGACTTTATCTTATCAGTGAGACCACGGTGCTCGGTGACATATGGCGGTTAGGCAAAGCCCCACCTGCCCAGAAAATTACAGAACCGTTGTTGTTGCTGGAGGCAGGTGAGTGATCCCCCTAGAGCCCAACCAACTTCTCTGCATGAAGCGCATGCTGCTGAGGAAGGCCATTGTTTCGGTTTGTCCGGATACGTTCCCTCAAGGATTTTGACCGATTATTTTGAGAAAACCGTTCTGATTGACCCTGATACCAGTGTCAAGCCTATTGGAAGAGTACCACAACGTTCTCAACTCCATTTTCTCTTGGCCATCTCATTGACGATCCTTCGTGAACTCTACCCAAGGAGGCGCCAAAGAATGATGTTTACATATTCCCTGGATTGAGACACTTGTGGCTCGGTAGAACTACTTTGGCGATCCCAAATTGAAGAGGCGGGATCAGATTAGCGGCTCGTAAGCGTATACCTTCGTATTTCTTCATGTCATAAACTGAGGCGTCGCCTCTCCAGCATTGAAGGTCTTTTGTCGAGGTTTGTCCATTGCGTATTGCGGTGACCGGCTTCGAATCATTCAGGGTACCAACGTTGAAGCTTCATCCGACAAAGCGACAATTTGTTCGCGTCCCGCCTCAGAAGCTCCGACGACGAATCCAAGTACAATACCATGCACACTTTTTGTGGATTGCTCTGGCAGATCCACAATCGGTGCCAAGTTATTGCCGGAAGCCTGCGAGAAATGGGGGCGTTATGACCGTACATCGTAAAACCCAAATGTGAAGTACTGCTGCACCTCCTTCCCCCTTTCTCACGAAACGCAAGAGAAGGTCTCGAGGGCACTTCCCCAAGATGATCGCTCTTTGGGAGGTGGGATACCTGCGCTGTCATCGGCGCAGTTTCGCCAACACCCGAAACTGGCCGAGACCTTTTCGCTTATCGGCGAATCGTCTGGATGGAATATCGACACATGTCCAGGGACTTTAGCTCAGTATATCAAAACAGTGAGGGAATTGTATAACAAGATCATTCCTGAAGAGCGCCACGACCAGGACGAATGGCTTTTCGAGCTACTACGACTGCTGGAGAAGGTGCAGACAACCTTGACGAGGCCATTAAATGGGATATCTACGCCATAGCAAGATAGCCTATTCCTTTGTGATATGGGACAGGTTACTGAACGTCAGCACTCAGACATCCTGCTATTGGATCGACTGCGCATCCAAACCTGTCCCAAACAATTTCATCGCCGTTGGTGACGCCTTGATGGGTGGGTCTCACCTCATCAGTACAATATAGTCCCCTTCATGCTGACTCGCTTACGAAGGAGTAAACTCAATTTTCGGGCAGGGCGTGACTAAGCTCTTGTACTCAATGCCACCTTGTCCAACGCACTAAAGTCTTCGAGAAACCTTGAGTTGCCACCAGGCTTCGCTCATCTGTACTTCAAGCGTGTTCTGCGCATCGATAGGGGTGTGTTCGATACTAGCCGTCTTCTGGATTACGGCTACGACTCTACAATACCTCAGCCTGGAGAAACGTTGGATTTCGGGTCGTAAGAACGTCTGTTAGGATCCAACTGCATACGAGATCTTTCACGATGTGTTGGGCAGACTTAGTCCCGGGATAGATTTGATGAGTCCTCCATTTGTCCTCAAGTCAATCTTTTGGATATGGTGATCCCCTCCAGGGTCTTCCTAGAGCCACAGTGGCTTCTGAATCAAATTTATGTTTTTGGTTTGACTATGTTAGAGCCCTGTCGGAGGCATAGTTCCCACGGAGCCAGGTGGGATTCCAGGGATGTCAGCCTGCTTGCGCACCACGTACGGCTAAGAGCAGTGCTGCAACATGGAACACACCTAATTGAACGAACTGATTCTTCAGCCTCGGGACCCAGACTTACATAAGTGTGTATTTGGCATATTCAGATTCGCCGAAGGCAGTTGAAGGACACCGTGACAAGTACCTCCACCCGCTGTAAGACCGACACATTCACAACACGGCGCCGAAGGGGAATGGACTAGAAGAAGCGGCGCGCGTAGGGCTGTACGTGAGCAGCAAACTGACCTGAGACCGATGAGGCCGAGGACGAGTCAATATACAGGCACTTCATCCTGACCCAATTAGCCATGGAATGCTAAATCCGGCTTCCGCGGAACAAAAGCCCCATGTAATCTCGTACCTCCATTAACAAATGTTCAGCCTGCAAACCACAGGTGCAGTCGTCGGTCTTCGGTATAACACGCCAAATTAAACGCATGCGATATGATGACAATACAATTCGGCCAACTCCGCTAAACCACAGCTAAGGCAAGACTGAACATCGGTCAGCAGCACCTTCGCCCGCGTGCCCAATGAGCCTCCATGAATCCGAGTCCCCACTTATAACCTGGTTTGGCGGTTGTGTACCTGTAAACTATGTCAATCAAGCTTGCAAGGTGTCAAGATTCAATATTGTATCCTAGTCGTCCATGCTGGGGTACACATACAGCTCGCGTCGCTGCGTACCGGTGCCAACCGGCTGTGGCTTGCTTTTACCACAAGTTACACGCTACTTGGGTTATATATAAGCCGTATGCTTCTTATCCATAGGCCACGCCTGTGTCTTGCCGGCTGCGATCCTCATCTTCCTGATTTTTTGACGCTCTTACCCCTCCCCACTCCCTTCCGACTCTGCCGCAATTTCAGGCGGAGTTTTGGCGCAAAGTGTTCAGGATGAACCATCAGGTATGGATTGGGTTTGGTGACTGTTCATGACTGACTTGCCTTCGTAGTTCCGTTCTGCTATCAAACGAATGTTTCGCTCCCAACCATCAATCGTGAATGATAAAGTCAGATCTAATGCTTGATATCATTGACAGGCTATTCCTCATGCAGTGGACCCAACCTTGCGTTCAAAGTTTCCCTTTGAGATTTGGGAGAACATTCTCCTCTACATCACTCGCAAAGCAGATCTTTGCGCCATGACACGCGTCAACAGGAACTGGAAAGTGGTCGCTGAACGTGCGATGTATCGCGTTGTTTCGCTTGAGGACGATACGATCGCACTGGGGTTCTTCCAATCGATCATCGCTCGGCCATTGCGGGGATCGTTTGTGTGGTCACTATTCATTGACCTGCCCGCTCATAATTTCCGGTTGGACCTTCCGAGAAATATACGCCCGAAGAAGACACCGAGGCTTCTGCTGCACGGAGCCTGCACTGACAATTTCAGCACCGTTGATAAGACTTGGGATTTGGGATTGCTCTCAAGGGTATTGACACTCTGTCCCAACATCTTACAATTACGGCTTAGCGTCACGCCAAGGCTGCACAAAGCTTTCGCGCCACCCCGCCGAAAATATACAAGACCCCTTCAACGTCTCCAGATTTCTCCAAGAAGTCGCGGCGAAGCGAAGCCCGTGGCAATGCCCAGCTTAGGGAATCTGACTGGCCCATGTGAGGTCGTTAAAGCCCTAGTCCCAGGCAGACCGGTACGAGATGTCAGACTGATATGGTGTGAAGAGGATGGGAAGCTTCTCGGGGCATTGACCGCGCTCGGGCAGTCGACCGGTCCAGTTTCCACGCTTACAATCCAATCCGTGGACCTACTGGATGAAAAGGCCATCGTTTTCACTGGACATAACCTCCCGCGCCTTGAATACCTCAGCATCGTTTCCCCTTATTTCCAGCTTCCGGATGACGACGTTGTGATGGTCCTCCAACGGAGCCTTGAAGGACTTCCGTGCCTGAAAGAGCTCAAGATAATGGTCCCGTATTTGCCAAACGAGAAATGGCGATCTTTCATATCAACTTGTGAGACGCCGATCGTGGTTCTTGGATGGAAAGTAGAGATACGCTGGGACATAGATGGGTGGATGTATCTTACGCGGGTGATGACGAGCACTAGCACCTAGAGGTCAGACTTCCTTTTCTCTTTTCTTTGTATGACGAAGTCAGCGGATCGGTCGATGAAAGCGTGGGCACGCAGCGCCTCCAAAAGAGGAAGTTGATTGTAATTAACTTCATTATTTCATCAGACACTTTTCCAATTGTCCACAAACTCCGAATTAGATCAAAGGATCGACACGAGTTTAGCGTGTTTTATCGGTCATGTCCAGATCCTTGCCGGCTGCTCAGAACACTGGGAACAAGTTTGTGACTGTGCTGTACTTCGCAGCTGCTCAATCTGCAACGGGTCTCCACACCGAGACGATTCCTTTCCCAGATACTTCACTCACGCTTGGTCAGCTCGCCCGTCTTCTAGCAGAACGTCACCCTGCTCTACAGGATGTCTTGAACGAGAGTTCGTGGAGTGTGGATGCTGAAATGATAGATGATGAACGGGATGTGAATGAAGTTTACTTCAAGGGTGGAGAAGAAGTCGCTGTCATTTGCCCAGTATCTGGTGGTTAGCGTAGGTACCCTTTGCAATTCATTTCGACATGCTCGCCCAAGCGCTATGCCATTAACCGATTATACTTAACTCCAGCGTACCTGAGGCTGTGGCATCGATGGCCCGGAGCGTGACCAACACTCACCCCTGAAAGTGCAATGTTATCATCAAACTCTTTCCCTGTATCACTCCATCACTATCCGCCACCCTTGGTCGTCCCCATCGCTAGGTGTCCTACTGTACGTCCACCCAAGGGAGCAAGGGAGCGCGATCGACCCGGAGCACGCGGAAGAGGCGGAGGATCATAAACACTGTAGATACATAGCCATCCAGTACAGCCGACACCACAAGCCAGAGGACTCCGTCACCCCGCCACACCAACCAGTCACCCTTACCACGCATTGCCGATCCCCTCAGGTTGTGGTGTCGCGGGACAGCCACACTGCCACGTATCAACGCAACAACCACCTTCTCCGTGAAAGATGAGCGCTTTTATGCATGGTTCTACACATGGTCCGATCTGGGCCCCGACAGCTCGTAGAAATCGGTCGAAATGGTAACAGCAAATCATCTATGGGATCAATTCGGCAAAAACGGTCATAAATCACATACAGCTCAGACCCGAATCCGAGGACAGACAATGAGACGCAGAAACAAGACCATCATTAGGAAGCAGGGGAATCATGGGAAACGGAATAGAATGAGGAAGGAATACGGACAACTATGGAGGCATTGATCGGAGTCGATCAACCGTACTAGTACTACTAGAATGGGTGGATATCTGGTTAAAGGGAAAAGAAAAGAAAAGAAAAGCAAGCCAGTTACGATATACCAGTCAGAATATCAGTCCACTTTTGGCGCTAGATGGGTTTAAGGAAAAAGGAAACAGACAGCTGATAGCGAAGCCCCAAGGTGGAGGTAGATTGAGACGAACAGAGACAATAATGGGACGAGGAAGAGTGTGAATGTGCTACAATGATGTATGGGACGAGGGTCGAGACAAAGATGAACGCATGAAACCCAAAACAAACTAGGCGGAGCGAAAGGTGTACAGAGCGCATAGTCTCAAACCGGAGAACACCAATGAGGAACTCAAATTAAGGGAGGGGTATGTATAAAAAATGAATTGGGGCTTGTGCGAGATGCTCAAAGTTCGACAGAAACGCCCAAAATAGCCAATGCTTTCACCAGTTCTTTCCTGGCTGTATCAAGATCATCATAATCAAGCGCATTAATAGCGTACTTCGCGGCCTTCTTAGCTTTCGCCGTATCCTCAGGGGAGATGACATCAGGAAGAGGGGGAGCAGAGTGACGCGGGTACGGCGTTGGTGGGTAATGAGATGACACGGGAGGTAGAGCAGGAACGGTGGGCGGTGGTTGGGGCAGCAACGGGGGGAAACTTGGGGCAGGAGGCGAAACCAAATGCATCGGCGGAGAAGAAATGGATGGGAAAGAGGGTACATCCGGTAAAATCGCGGAGATAGGTGGAATGGCATTTACACCCTTGACACCTTCAGGATTCAAACGAGGCGAAGTTTGGAGGTGGTTAGCCAGAGAAGGCGTAGCGGGTGTGTTGCCATTTGAGCGGGATATGCTTGAAGAACTACCGCCGCTACTTGATCGGTTGTGTCCAGGCGCAAAACCCCCGTTGGGGTGAAGCGAGACGGTCTGAATGATGGGTGATAGCCGAGCGGATGCACCAAGGTGAGGTGTCCCGTTTCCGTTAGGGACGGTGAACGTTAGGCTCGGCATGTTATCCGTCGAGGGTAACTCGCCAATTGGGGGAATGCCAGTCTTGCGCAGCGAACCACCTCTAGATGTATCATCTGACGCATCGGACTCGTTTGAAGAAGGAAGTGGAACACTCAGCATGCTCTGTCTGGGACTGGGAGGCGGTGACTCGCTAGCGATACTGGATAAACCTCCAACCACGCTTGGGGTAAAGTGTACTCTCTTTGGAACACTACTCGTAGTAGTGTGGAACGAGCTGATAGTCTGAGGCTGAGTTAACGGCGAAAGAAGATCCGACGCTTCAGCGGGATGTACATCCTCTTGCATATCCGCATCAACGACGCTTGGACCAGAGGAAGACGTCTCCGGGATCACACTGAGTGAATTCTCCCTCGAAAACCCAGCAGACAGCGACCCAGATCGGTAAGGAATCGGAACGTCAGACTCGACATCATCGTGATCACCATCGCCAGTCCCCCACGATTGTCCCCAGCTGCTCCCTCGAGAGGGTATACTGTCACCCCTCTGAGCCGCGGTGCTGCTCCAACTGTCTTGCCTCCCGACTGCCATCGAATTCGGACCATCCATTTCCTTCTCGTGGTCCGAGTCAACATTTTCATAAGACTTCCAATTGGCGTTCCTGACGCTTTCATTCGTGACAGGTGCCGAAGCCGTCGCCCGCAACGTGGGGGACCTCGAACCACCCGAAGACGAAGATGACGCAGCATTGCCAGTCGGCCTCTTCGAGGGACTCGGACTCCTTTCCATCAATCGTCCGGTGATACCAGGAATAGGTAACTCCTCAGGAATAGCAGCCGTCGAAGGGCGCACCGCCGATGCAAGAGCCCAGTTCGACTCGTCCTGTCCAGGAGTAGCAGCCGTGCTCCAAGCACCAGGGCTGACACTGTTCCCACTACCAATGCTAGCCCCTAATCCACTCCCACTCGACTTGAACGGCACCCTCGAAAGAGGCGTAGGTGTCCGCGGGACCTCTTTTTCCTTTTCCTTCTCTTTTTCGTCTCCTGGCGATAGGCCAAGTGGGGATATCCTTCCTTGACTCCCACCTCCACTTCCCCTCTCGGGCGACACGCCCTTCACACTCAACCCTGGTGACGCACTGGGCGTCCCAACACTAGGGGGTAGCGGAATGGTGTTTGGCCCCGCTCCTACATGCGGACCGGAGGGCAGAGTCAGAAAGTTTCCCTTGTGATTCGGACTTGCCGAAATGCTGGGTGGAATACTCCCAAAGACGCTCTCTTGCCCGGCAATGATGGTAGGTGGGGACAGGGTTCCACTGTCGGAAGGTGGGGTGGGCGGTTTCATGGTTTCCTCAAAAACAGACCCTGCTGGACCTGGAGTGGGTCCTCGACCTTCTCGGATGGCTTTTGCTATATCAGCTGCTTTCCATTTTGAATATCGGATTTTTTGTTCATTCTTCGTGACGATTATATTTCGGGCCAAAGAAATGAGGGTGTAATCATGGGTGAATTAAGAATGTTCGGAAAAGGGGTTCAACACGTGGAGAGGAAGCAGGGGATGGAGACGTACCTCTGGTTGTTCAGGGATGTCGAAAACGGATAGGAGCTCTAGAAAATTAGCTGCAGCAAGAAACTTTTTGGCCGTTGACCTAGGGAGAAGGGAACCGCACGATGAAGTAGACGATAAGAATAACCTCCCAACAGCGAGTTTTGAAGACAAGATCCTCACCTCGATGATTTGCCCTTTCGATCTTCATTGTCAGCATTATTGAATACACGTATAGCGAAACTATTCCATGAATTTGCAAAAAGCAGAAACGGGACACGAGGGAGGGATGAAATGTTGAAGGGTGTGTATGAGTAAAGTCATGACATCATGAATAAGTTGTGGGACGTACTTTTCAATATAAGCACTGCCAGCTTCGTCAGAAGCTACTGCATCATTTGAGTTTAGCTCTTTTTTCGCCTGTGCATTTGTTGGGTCAAACCAACAAAGCGGTGGTGGGATGCCCGCCACAACACAGGAAAGAAGAAACGTATTAACGGTCCGAGGGAAAAACGATGGGATGGAGGAAGTTGCGTCAGTGAAACATGATCCGAAACATTAAACTGTGCCATGAAAGAGAGGCGGGAAACGTGGGTAGGGATGATAGAAGGCGCTCGGAGGGGCACACTGGGGCGGTAAGGTGGATGGATAGGTGTATCCCCGCGTGAGATTGGAAAGAGGGGTTATGAGGTACATGGAATGTTGATCAGCTCACCCGTTCGAGAACGTCCATCAGTGCTAATAAGAACGGCCTGCATTCTTTTCCTCCTCTGGCCGCTACGCCTTGTTTTGCAGAGAAGTAAAGACCTACGAAAGAAAAAGAAAAAGAAACGCGACGCCAATTGAGGTGGTGCGATCCTGAGACGTGATGAACTTACACCAATAACACATGACGGGATCTTTGATTTTCAGTTCGAGCGCGCGTTGGATGTACGGTGAGAGATGTTTAAGGGGTGGGGGTAGTTCTGGTAAGTTCGTAACGACATTTTGTAAAGTGGCTGGAGCGTTTGCCATGGGTTGTTGAACACTAGATAGCTTTATCACTTGGTTTTTTTTTGTCCTGTTCGTCGCGTTGACGTGGCGAAAGAGTAAAGCTACAGTTAGAGTCGTAAGTACGTTAGATTAAGTTGAACTAGAAGAAGAGACGGTGAGTTGTGGTTGGTTAGGAAGAGTCGGTTAAGGAGAGGTGTTACTGTGAACGGTTATGAGTGAAAAAGGTATTAAAGGACCAAAAATCCGGGAGATTCCTTTTGTGGCTAGGGGTTTCTTTCGAGGAGAGCGTTGAAGACGGTAGTGTCAGTGGTACCGTACGCCCCCGCCAAACACCGACTCGACGATCGGTGAACGCTTCTTTAATAATTGGTTATTCAATGAGCCTTTCAATCGTTGAAACACGAGTAACGGCAAGCGGACTTAGAGATTAACTCCGAACAAAGTGCCAGCGGAAATAATAGAAGGTTGCTCGAGATCTGTGATGAACGGCAGTCTCCGAGGGTCCAGCTTCGTTGAAGGCCAGAGTAAGTTGTGCTGGGGCAGAGTCGGCAAACAATGGCGCGGCAAATCCGTGTCTGCCCTGTCATGACAGCGTCAGTCGCGTTGAGAGTTGCCGGGCTGCAATGCGCCCCGACTCGGTTGTAGCCGAACTCGAGGACATAGGCATCTTGATTTTCCTATATATATTCTTTAGTAATTGGCCTCTATAGCTTGTGAGGCATTTGTTTGGGCCAGGTTTCTTTTCCCGGGGCAGCCTTGAGAATGTTTGCTTCGTGGGACACCGAATCCGGAACTTCCTCTCATCTGTCATTCGACCGCCTGATCGGTGGGGTCTGCCCTTGGGTCAGAGATTTATTTACTTATTGTACATACATAATAGAGATCACTTCAAGTCCATTCCATCATGATCTTGCAACTCCTTCTCATCATTCCTGACCCAACTCTAGCAAATATTTATTGGCATGTCAACAAAGACTGGTTGTAGCTAAGTAATCAGTCCAGCGACTCAGTCAGTAGTTATCAACAATATAAAGGCGAAAGAAAAATACGTAGGAGGATAACGCAATGTAACCATTAGTGTGGGCCAGAAAAGGCTCATATAATTTACTTGTCATGTCGCTCTAGTGTCAAACGTACCAATCCCCCAATCCAAATTAATTACTTAGCAGGACTGTAACGATGCAATACTCGGCCAACCCCCCCTGTGACTGAGATGGGAAACCACTGACCGATCATGAGCAAGTCCGAGAGAAGTAATGCTCCAGTGCTCAAACGATTGCTATGGCGCTCGAATCACCTCCCAAACACTGTAGTTGCGTGAAGCCATTTGCACACAAACACAATTGTTCGGGTGGGATCGGGAATTGATTGCCAGAATAACTAACATACCCACTACTGTGTTCTTTTCTCGTGAACTAGTGAACAACGGATATTTTGGTAAAGATCTGTCACTACATAAGCAGGACTCTGTGACATGTGGCAATTAAATTATTTTGATCACCAGTGGCAGTGTCACATCTTATTTAGGAAATCAAGGCGGATGTATATATACCGAAATTTGTTCGTTGAGCTAAATTAATTGATTACGTAAAAGGCTTGATATTCAAATGTCCTGAACTTTTTCCCAACGGCGAGAGTCAATATTGCTCAAAATTGCAAGTAGAAGGATGGACGGAGAACGCCGATCGAAGATCCCTTTATAATGGCCCAACCCAATGACTTTTTTCCCCCCTTCTCATATACCAAACGCCTTCTCGTGCTCCTTTACATTACATTGAGACACTCTCGTTCGCTCTTTCTGACAGCGAGCTAGACGCATAGACTTTCTTTTACAACCCTCCCACTCTCTTCAGAACCACTAAGACCCTTCTTTCACCATGCGCTTCATCACCGTCGCTTCTGTTCTCCTTGCTGCTGCCTCTCGCGTTCTCGCCCATGATGGAGATCATGGTGGAGATCATGAGTGCTCATCCAGCCAGTTTAAATGTTAGCCGTTTTTTCTCTCTCTCCTAGATCCTAGCACCCTAATTCCCCCAACCAACCTACGTTTCCTCCTCTTCTCTAATAGGGACCTTCGCCAACACCGGTGTTAGTATCTGCCTCTCCCATGGTTTCAAAGGGATTGGACAATGCCCGTACGTACCTGACTCTCCCAACCTCTATCTCATAATCCCCACACTCATCTTCATCCCCCCACAGATCCGACAAGGAATGTCCCTCTGGTTGGGTATGGAACGACAACTACCAATCCTGTGTTCCTCAGCACCCCAACCCCGGCAACCCTTCGTGCTCTCATGGAGATTGGGACCATGGCGACCAATGCTGCCACAAGCCCCATCCAACAACTACAACTCAGCCAGCCCCCACTTATCGTTGGGGCAGTCATCGTGGTGATCGTGGTGATGGTGAAGGTAACAATGATCGCCGTCGCCGCAGCCGCCGGGCTATCCGACTTAATGGCTACCAGCGCCAGTCTTAAAACAAGAAGATTGTTCAGCAACGGAAAGGTGTTTTCTTTTCCTTTTTCAACTTGAGTCACCGCTTACGACTTGCCGCAGTGTTTCTTCCCAGGCATTCTTGGATATGGTGTGCTCTAACCCTCGTTTACCGGGTACGAACTGGCCAAGCATTTTCCTCTCAATGTAAGGCACCGGCCACGTAATTTGCCCTTTGCTTGTCACCGTTCCACAGCCTTCTCCCGCTACATAGTGCAGTTCGGACTTTAGGCATCTATTTTAATTTATAATTCTTTTTTTTTGCTCCTGAAATCTCCCTCACTAGTCTTATTTATGCTCGAGCTATTCATACCCTTTCTCTTCGCCCATCAGTGATTCAGTGTTGTCACTGCACCTTTAGATGCGCCATTCACATGCATGGACATTAATGATTTTTCATCTTTTAGCATGTCTTTCATTTATTTTAGCTCCGTGTCCTACAAACTTACCCCATTCTTTCTTGTCTGAGTTCCCTTTTGACACTTGTCTCTTTTCCTTCACCTCGTTGTCGGTTGGGGATTGTGAAATAGCCGCTGGCAGAATTACAGGCACCCGTGTTGAGACTTTTTCCTTTTTCTTTGACCGCCCGCAGTACGTCCGCTTTACGTGAAACCGTGCTTACGTACGTGCGTGCCCATTTGTGGTAGTCACTATAGTACTGTCCCCCCCCTTCGTGACATCCGAAGAGTATGCGGTCGGTAAAACCCTGGATTCTCTGTGCACCGATTATATTACATATGCCACACAAAGGGTCGAGAGTGCGAGGGGGGGGGATCTCCGCTCCTTGGTATGGCCCCACATCGGCATCCATTGTGTGGCTGGTTGAAAGATGGACGGAACATGACAGAATGCCTGACAGAAAACAGAAGCGAAGGCGCGTTCCGGTTCTGGTGACGAATGGGGAAACGCGTCGAAGCATAGGTAAGAACCAGATCAATTATATATCGCGGTAAATTGCCAACCCTCTTCTTTTCCAGTTGCCTTGGTGAAAGCTATGCATGCAGGGAGTCAGCTGGCCACAGCTTATTGTCCGGATCTCAACCCGAATTCTCCCCCGAACTTCGAGCTAAGACGGCTATGCACTTACATACCTACAAGTTCCATGCTCAAACATTGTGGTGGGGTATGTACCTTGTTGAACGTATGTCCAGTTGTACTGTGCATGGTAGAGCAGATGACCAGCTTCCTTACGTGCGCGCATGCTGATCCGATCACAAAAAGTGCGATTGGCGTTGAACTCTTCTTACGTGCCTTTGATCTTGGTCTCCTAGCTATGTATCTCCATCTTGCCTTGTCGCCCAAACGTCTATGCCAAAACGTCGTCCCCCGCGAGGGATTTATCTATGTAATATGTATTGCAGATCCGTATACGGAAACATGTCATCGAATTTTGAAATCCCGTCATTTCCAAACCCTTTAAGACACTTCGGAGTCGAATTACTTAAGATGTGCAATATTGGAAATTACTTTTGTCAATCTTCGTTGTTTTTGGGCATACATAGATTGTCGCAGTTCTTTTGGCTGTGGATTTGGAGCCCTATCCAACCATGGTGAGGGGAATCAAAACGGTTACATATGTACATAGTTGGTTGTCTGGACCACCAGATCGAAAACATAGAAGAATTAATTACAGTAATCGGAGCCAGACACTACTATACTTAATTATGGACCCGGAAGAGTGGATCTGCGTTGTTCTGGTGCCTCACCGGAGTGTCTTGCATCAATATCACCGGCCTTGACTACACTATCAGCCCCCAAATCGATGGCTATTTCTGTCTGCAGTTCAGCGTTCATTCCATGATCGGATCCCGGCGCCGGCGACTTTACCGTATGGGGAACGGCCCAATTCAAATTAGCGCTGCTATCCGTGCTTCATCCAGTGCACGATCGCTACTACACAGTGCAGCCTCAAAGACATGTTTTGCTAGTTTATGAACCCGTAATTTGTTGCTGTCTCACAACAAATGCATATGACCCCAAGCCGAGGACATCTATAGAGGCTGGTATCCTGCCTACCGAAGGCCAGCTGGATGAAAGACGTACCCGGTTATGGACTTAAACTTTCATCGTCGCTGTTGCTGTTCGTGTCACACCACCTGCCCTTAGGGAGCTTGGCAGGTTATATATCATCATCACCTACGGCCAGCCTGAGCCCAGGCCAAGGGTAATGCTCGAAATTGACGCCTCAGGCATGCAGGATAACGAACGTTCGCACTGCACATGATTTTCCTATGGAAGCAATCCACGTATCACTGTTCTCTTGATCGACTCTCTTTTTGCTTTTCCCTGAACGTCTTCAGGGGTCAGCCTCTACTCTGCTTCAGGGGAAGTGTTCACTGTTCTCCAAACTGCGACACATCAGTGCGTCGAACTGAACTGTGGATTTCTCTTCGGGGGTCCCTTCACGTCGGTCTCTTCAGCGTTAGGAATTGGACGCAGCTTTTCGATGTCGATGATGATGCAGAACGGCCGTCGCTGCTGCAGCTTAGCCGCGACCTAGTCACGTGGGAGTGTGGTGGTTTTACACCATTCCAATAGATTATAGAGGCTGCTACACCATGCATGGCGTGCATGAGGATTATGAGAGGCTGATCACCTGCCTACACGAGGATCGTCAATGAATTATATGGGTGCGGGTAGGTGATGTCGAGTAGTATGATGGGGCCTGGGCTAGCTTTTTCGACGCCCACTTCACCTCCTCGCTCTTCGGCCATGCATGACACTATTCACCCATCACCGCTGTCTATTTGCCCGCTCACTATCCGCTCAGACAGTTCAGCCGAATTTTCCTATCAGGAGCCGGCCATCCAGATCACTGGAAGCCTTCTCGCCGCCCACTGGGTGCCTATCTTTCAGATCCGTGATGGGTTGAGTGAAAGCTCTGTTCGACATCTTCGTCTTCTTGAGCACTTTTCAGACTGCTATCATTGTCATTATGGTATTAGTGTCTTCTGGACCTCTGCAATTGAATCTGCAATGTGTTCGTCATAGCTTGAATCAGGAGATGGCTAGAATTGGGAGGCCTGTCAAAGATATAACTAGCTGCGCGGGCAACCCCCGGTACGAAAGTGAGCACAAGATAAGCTCGAGGCATGAGGCAGTTGAGAAGCTGGAGCATCGCCTCTCTTTCCATCTGTTTCTATCCATTAATCTACCCATAGAGAGGGTGCCTCATCGAAATTGCAATTTGAGGTGCAAGCGGTATTTTGACTTGCGCGCGCGCATCAGAGATTTTCTGTGTGCTACTAGAGCGTTGCGCGAGTTCGTACTCGTGCTAGAGGCATGTGCTTGCGCGCTGAATGCAGCATAAAGCGCAGAAGGTGCCTCTCCTTAACTCCTGCGTGCGGTTCCTTTCTCTACCTCTTCGCGACCTCCAAAGGTTCGAGCCTCCAACTTTTTTTTGGGCCGCTCACATCAACAGTGGTGTTGACACCTCAGGGCTATTGAGCAGATACCCCTCAGGCCGCTGACCAACCCCCAAATCTCTATTTCCCAGACTGGTCTCCGTCCACTCAGTGGTGCGACGCCATCTCACCAGGAGGCATTCAGAGATCATTGGCAGCTTCGCTTCGTGCTGTAACTCTAGCACCTCGACTGATCAAGTTCAGGTTTGGGCGCTAATCGTTAATTCCGACTTGAAGAATTTGGCCTCCTTCCTCCCCCTCCCACGTACACGTACCAACAACTCGATTCGTCATCCGGAGCCGGAATGCAATTTTCCTTTCAAAAGCTCAGAGAAACGGCCCTCTTTCGAGGGCTCGGGGACATACACCCTTTTCAAACGCTCGGGGATGTACTTCCCTTTCGAAAGCTCGTGGACGTACCTTTCTTCCGGAGGCTCGGGGACCTATTTTCCTTTCAACAGCTCAAGGACATGCCTTCCTTTCGAAAGCTCGGGGACATATTTCCCTTTCAAAAGCTCAAAGACATACCTTACTTTCGAAAGCTCGGGGACATATTTTCCTTTCGAAAGCTCAGGAACATACTTTCCTCTCTCAAAGACACAATTTCGAAATCCCTTTTACAGAAGAATGACCACTTTTTAGGGAACAATCTGCTTCTGATTTCTTGTATATTGTTCCCTGTCGCATTGTCTACGATTACTTACAAAGTGTCCATGCACCCTGTGGTGAGCCATTACTTCCGGTATGGATCGGTCACTGCAGGGACAGCGAGGGGATCTGTCGCTCGAAGGATGGCTTTTGTTCGACGATCCGAGAATTATGGGAGTGATTCTGAAGGGAATCCTTTCGATGATTTTATAATGCGTATGTGTTTCATGTATCCCTTATACGTTGTTTTGCCGTGCTAAACCTTCCTCATGCAGTTGACGGACAATTTGACCCTGATCGTCCAATCAGTGATTTAACCCTCTACCACGGGCGAGTGATCGAGGGATTGACAGTCACGTATAATTTGAGAGATGGAACGACCCGAACTTCGATTCATGGAACACCGAACAGAGACCACCTCAATAATTTTACTTACCTCGAACTTAGCGGTATTGTGGCTTCTTCCTTGGCCTCCCACATGAAACTCAGTACTTATTTTAAAAAAAAAAAAAACTTTCTCGACACCAGATAAAGAGATCGTCAACTCTATCACAGGAAAGGTGGGGGTGCGTGGATCCTCTGAGAAATCGTCGATTGTCCGATTGGCGTTCGAAGTACGAAATACTGCGACTGGGAACATTCGATTTCTTGGTAAGCGGCCCCCCTTACATTTAATGTCCTACCGTAGCCGGAGGACACAGGGAATCACCTGTGCTCACCTAACAAATCGCTATTCCACCTACCCTCACACCTTATTTCTCTACGCAGGGCCCTTCGGGGATACGAGGGATGACGGTCAAGGACAGGATTTTGCAGTGCCTGGTCCAATATTCGCCTTTGCGGGCCGAGACTTTGGAGATCAAGCGGGTGCGTACGACGTGTGCTTCGTCGTATGCCTTCACCTGACATTAAACTGCACTTGGTTTGGGGGGCATGCACAGCATCGCTCCAATCCCTTTCCTTCTACTCGCCTCATATTCCTAAACAACCGAAGGATGAAAAACTTGGGCGACCAGAGGTTCGTGCTGAAGATGAGGCCAAAGCTAAGAAGTTCCTTGAAGAAAACAGTCGTTTGGTCTCAGACCTCCCCGAGTGAGCGACATTTGTAATTCCCTCTCTTCTCATTCACAGTTGTACTGAGCTCTTTTTTTTCCCCTTGCACCTCCATTACCACATTTCTGTAGGAAACATCTGAAAGGAATCGTGTGCGCGAATAATGACGACCGGTTGTCGTTCAATAGAGCTGCGGGGAAGAACGCTGCATTGGTCTCCCTGAAATCGACCGTCAGCGACCGAGACCCTCAACACGACGTACGTCGGTCATTCCGCCTATTCATGTTCTTTGCAACATGGTCGCTAATGTCTCCCCTCATACCTCAAGTGGAGAATCATTCCTAAAGATAACGGAGGAAATTACCGAGTCTTCAACCCTCCAGGGAAGGTTATCTTGGGATACTTACAACCCTCAAGAGAAAGTCATGTCGTTGTTGGACTTCGTTCTTGGGAAAACGAATTTGATGATCCAGAGGAGAGACCCATTGACGATTTGACGTGGGAGATCCGTACGGCGACAGACAATTCCTACTTGTGAGCTGAGGTTATCACTTCGGGATACGTTGATTCCGGTTATTTTGACATGGTTTTTGGATAGCTTTGTCGTTCCTGGAACTGCGCTTGTGCTTGCTTATGACGAGGAAGAAGGAGAGGTGCGTGGAAGCATTTCAACTTTGAAGTGTCTTCGACCCGCCGTCTAAATGCAGCTATCTTTCTTTCTATCTGGCAGCTTCATCTCAAGTACGCGGGTGCAAGGGTGGAGAACCTTGTAAGTCCAGTGTCGTTTTATACCTAAATCAACGAGACCGACTGATAAATTTTTTGTCAGTGGAAATTCCTTGATTATTGAGGCGCGGTATGATGCATGGATTGTCATTTGTCGGAGCGTGGATTACTTGTATGAATAGCGCAGGCAGCTGTCTTGTAAGAGTTCAAATCCAAAAATATGGAAACGCTCCAATATCTTCTAGACCTCATTCTGGTCCAGACGATCGTCCTGTTGGCTGATGGTCCTGGCCATTCATCCAATCATCTCTACTTTCAAGCACCCCAGCCCTGTAATGGGTAGAACGGCGAACGGATAAGAATGAGCCCAGACACAAAGGAAGGAAATGAACTGACTGACTTTGGCAATAGCTAATAGTTGCCAAGTATTTCACCAAACATTGCTTTCACCTGGCTGAATATATCCGTTTCAATGGCGCTGGAACAAGCTGTATGACGTCTCTTCTTCGTCACTGCCCACACGATCAATGAGCGGCCGCAGCGTTTGTCAGAAGCAACGAATTAATATATAGTATTCGTTCGGATACTATGTACGTAGTTCGAATTCCCAGCCCTGTGTGATTGCACCACAATATAATATGGTCGCTGAATTATTGCCTAATGGTCTCCTTGTAATATTCCCGCTTCTCCGTAGCACTTCTGAATACCCCCAACGCGAAGGTCCTGCAGGCTCTTAATGCAGATTGAACTCTCCGGGGTCCTCTTATCGCCGTAGGCTGAACTTTCACTAAATCATACCTTCTCTTCGTCCTGCATGTTCGGAAGGACTGACAATAACGATCCCCACAAAAGAGAGTAGCAGGCAGGCAGCGTTCGCCAGTTATCGATGAATAACGCTCCAACTCCGCCCTGTCCACAGCCCTTCAACAGTATTTCTCCCGATGAAAATTGCTGGATAAAGCACCAGGCGAGAAAACGCCGCTTGCGGAAGGCAGAAATGCAAGGTTGTCTGGAGCATGCGCGATTTTTGGAGTAATTGCTCCTAGGAGACATTAATTGATGCAGGTCGACGCAAGTGTGGGCTAAAGCTAAAGCATTCATGGACAGTCGCCCCACTCATTCTTTCCCCCTTTCAGTGATCCCAGCCCTGGCGTATCGATACATGTCCCCGAACTATCGCTTAATTTGTCGAATTGGCCTGGCCTGGCAGTCATACGCCAACGGATTCCCAAAGAGTCGAAATGAAGGGCTCTTCGGGAAGCCGTCGATCACTGTAGAAGCTGCGATGTGAGAGGAAGAGGTTTCCAAAGGCTCGGAGCGACCGGAAGGAAGGCTCCGGCAACGGAGGAAGCACTGGTGCCACAAACTGTGGGAGAAACTGATTACCGAAAGCCTAGCTCGGTGATTCTCGCAGCTGGTCCAGTAAACCGAAATGCACTTGGGAGAAAAGTCGATGTGAGGCTCAGTCTAATCACACGCACCTTGATAGAGGGTGTACAGGAAAACCCTCCACTCTTTTACCACTTGCTCGTGCTCAGTGGGGGCTGCTAAATTATTATTATCCACTGGGATGGCATGCAGCCAGGGGCCGTTTTTCCAGCACCAATACACATGTGAAGTGGCGCTCACTGATCGTGGACCACACAGCCAAACTGGGTAGGATGAAACGTGGCACGGAGCCGTCGCAGTGCGCGGTACTTCAAAGCTATGAGTCCCAACGCCTAGGTAAACTAGGAGAGGGTATATGCTATCTCAATGTTGACTAGTGAGCGTACCTCGTAACCCACGCTGATAGCCGCGCGCACCGCCACCAGTACGGCCGCGAAAGCGCCCCCACTGCGGATGGTTTCGCGGCTAAATAGCCTCATCCGGCCCAATTCATGAAGCCGGTGCACATTTTGGGAAAGAGTCATCAAGGAGCTGTCGCTGTTGCTCAGTCTGACAGGGCGAGGGCAGATACACTGTGCCAGCCCTTGAGCACGGTAACGTCCAACTGCAACACTCCGCATAGGAGCACTAATGTCATATATTTCCTCTCAGCCATATCCGCGCGTTGTGAGTTGAAATGACGGAGCCAGAGTGCATGCCCGCGCTTGCATCCAGCCCATGGAGTTCGTGTTGGGACAGTGGAGCTCGCAGCGGGATTCGAGCTGTTACCCGAAGAAGCTATCGTTATCAGAAGCAAACATTGATCTTCTAATGAGGAGGGTATACTCAAACGGCTTTAATAACTCTTGGGATGCGGCCCGCTAGATTGCAGCAATCAACCTGTTTGTTCGCGATCCTCTGTGCATGGGTGTATGTTTCCGTGTCCGGCGTGAACAGCCATATCACTTCCATAATATGTAAGTAGTATGCGGTATTTTGGCTGTTATCTAATATCTTGCACGGTGAACCACGCGACAACTTGAACAACCTGACATATGGCGGATTCTGCTCAACTTGATCTTGCATGAACCCCTACTGAAATCAGGCACAGTTGAGGTATTTATCTTTTTGAGTTGTGAAAAATCGCGATTTGTGACTGCAAGGGTGGTGTGGTGGTAACAGGGGGTACAAATACTATGTCTCTGACTTTCTCTGAGTACTTTCACTCCCCCTTCATCACTCCCGCCTCTCTACTCTTCACCTCGCCCTTGTTAAGGACTTAGAAGGCTACTGAGAATGGCAACGGCCCTTATGGCCGAGGAGGGCAACCTCAGGCGCCATCCCGTCCAGCTCTCCGGCACCGCGCTGGCCATCATGTCTTTCCAAACGCTAGGAATAATTTACTCTGACATTGGAACGTCCCCGCTGTATGCTAGACGATTTTTTTCTTGGTAGATGGTACCCGATCTGAACATGACTTAATGCGCCTCTCTTCGTTCATCCAGGTATGTCCTCAATGGAATATGGCCGTCTTATGGACCCACTCCCCCAAAGGAGGACGTCATCGGTGGTCTTTCAGCCATAATTTGGGCCATGACCATCTTGCCACTCATAAAATACGTGCGTCTTCCCACCTATTCTTTGGACAGTTTGTGATAGTGGCTACAATTTATTTGTTATTAAGACCCTCATCGCTCTTCGTTTCGGCACTAGTGAGGGTCAGTTACTTCCTATTTCAAGGACCTTTTGTGGTTCCGACTGGGTTTGATAGGTGAGGGTGGTACCTTTGCGCTACTTCAAGGACTTTATCCTAGAGACACCATTTCTGCGTTTCAACGCACGCTCACCAGCGATTCTGATGCCAAAGGGCGTGCTCCAGAGAGGATCGAACGTGGACAGTCGTTCCTTAGTCGTGGGAAATGGCTTTTGTACCTGTGGAGCTTCTTTGGTACTTCGTTGACGCTTGGTGATGGTATCTTCACCCCTGGTATGTAACATATTTCATCCTCCTCTCCTCAACCCGACGTGTCGTTCATTTGGGGGTCTTTTAGCCGTATCTGTGACGTCCGCTGTTGGTGGTCTTGCAGTCGCAAAGCCTAGCGTCATCAATCAGATTACGCCTATTTCGATTGTACGTTTAGTAGTTGGGACACGTCTTTCAGCGAGAGGACTGAGCCCACGTCTTGAAGGGTTTCCTTCTCGCGTTGTTCCTTGTTCAGCGCTTTGGCACCCACAAGATCACCTTCGCATTTGCTCCTGTCACCTTCGGATGGCTGGTCCTGATTGGAGCGACTGGAATTTATAATATTACGAAATACCCAGGGATATTCAGGGCTTTTGATCCATCCCGGGCTATCTTGTGTGAGTGATCTATGAGGAGCGGAAAGTGTTTGGGCAATATATATTGATAAGACACCTCTGTAGGGTTTGTTCGTACCAAGAACTATGATGCCCTGGCTGGTGTTCTCTTGGCTCTGACGGGATGTGAAGCTATGTTCGCCAAGTGGGTCTTCTCTAACTTCCATTCTACTGCACGTCGCTTATACTCCGCTGTCACACTCCCCCTGTTTGCTGATTTGTTTCATAGTCTTGGGCAGTTCAATGCTCTGTCTATTCAATTGGCTTTTGGTCTCTTTGTTTATCCTTCTCTTCTCCTCGCATATCTCGGTCAAGGGGCTCGCCTTATCACAGACGGAGGTGCTGTCATGTCGAACATTTTCTATATGACGATCCCTGGACCTCCTAACGGTGCCCTTTACTGGATTGTTTTCGTTTTTGCATTGTTGGCCACGGTAAGCACGGCAAAGGATGATAGATACTTTAATGATTTTTTCACCTGGAATTCAGATTATCGCCAGTCAAGCTCTAATCACTGCCACTTTTAGCTTGGTTCGTTGACAGAAATTGTCTACTTACCATGTTTACGCTAACCCTCAAATTTATTCCCTAGACTCAGCAGCTCATCAACATGAAGGCTCTGCCACCGTACGTGCTATTTTTTTTATACATATTCACTACTGCGGCTTCATTAATGGTCGATTGATCCGACAGTCTTCGCTTGGTGTACACCAGTTCTGTCGTACAAGGTCAGGTATATGTGCCAGCGGCTAATTACACCCTCGTACGTTGTTCTTACCTCGTGTTGATGACTGACAATTGCTAACAAGTCCTCTTGACGTGAATACTAATAGGGACTTGCCACCGTCATCATCGTTGGTGTTTTCAAGAACCTCACGAACTTGACAAACGCTTACGGGTGCGTGTCGCGTGCCTGCATCTATCATTTTGACAATGAACTGTGTCTATCTTTTAGATTTGCGGTGGCGACAGTGATGTTCGTGACGACTAGCTTCCTCTCGATCCATATCTACATCAAGAAGGGGCTTCCCCTCGGCTTTGCTGTTGGCTTTTTGCTTACCTTCGGCTTCTTCGACGGTTTGTTCTGGGGTGCTGCTCTGAGAAAAGTTACGCATGGTGCTTGGGTTCCTCTCACGATAGGGTGTATATTGTGTGTATTCTCAGTTGCTCAGGATCTGAACCCATGGATAACTGATTGAGATTTGCTACCACCCTAGATGCGCGCTGATGATGTTCTGGACTTGGGCAAAGGTACCTACCATCCATTAGCCTTTTTTTATATCTCTACTACAACGCGTAACATTAGGGGCTTGAGGATGCTTTCGATGGAAAAAACCGCAGAAATCCTCGCAGCTTTATTGTCCACCGAGGCTTCGGAGAGAAGGGTTCCCTGAATAGGGGTGCAGAATCTGACCCTCTTGACATCGCGAACACTCAGCAAGACACTGAGAACAATGACGGTGAGATCATCGAGGAGGATCAAGTTGGTTTAGCCCAAGATACTTCTGTGGTTAAACGTACAAATTCTGCCTTGAGTGGCGACGATCAGGGAGATGGTTTGGTGGACACGAATCAAGAGTTATTCTTCCTCGATGAAAGCTCCGCTTCGGCTATCCAGTTGCCAAGAATACCTACCTGTGCGATCTTCCACAAGCTTACGGGGGGTCGTGGTGTTCCCCACTCGTTCTACGGTATGTCAATTTGGTCGTGATGTTTTGGTGTGCAAGTCTCTTTGAACTAACGATGTACTTCCAGGTTATGTGAGGCAGATGCCCTCCTTGCCTCGCGTTGTTGTATGTAGCCCCTGCATCCAGGACAAAGGGAACCCCTTCCTGAGCTTTTTTGGTTTCCCCAGATCTTCTTGTCTGTTCAAGTGTTGCCAATTGCCTACGTCGCGACCGACGACGCCTATATTGTGTCTAAAGTTCGCTCAATACAAGGTAAGTGCTGTTTCAGGACTCTCATTAGTCCATATCGACGGACTGCTCCGAAACTAGGCTTTTACGGAGTGACATACTGCCTTGGTTTTCGGGATGATTTCAACCCATCAACAGAACAGATTTTGAAGCTGATCTATGCCACAGAAGCGCGCCTTGCAACGACTCAGGCTCGTCAAGTGATTGGGGAGGTGCAGCTTGCCGCTACACGTACTGTTCACATGTGAGTGTTATCCTCGTCAAGTGTCGACCGTACGAGTAACCGTTTGTCGTCCCGACCCGGTTCAGAATACCACACTATCGCATCGCCAGTAAGGATCCCAAGATCGAACTCAAATGGGCGTCAATTGTTTTGTCTTGGCTGAAACGCTTCTTGATCGAATCCCTGTATGCTCGTTTATGTGAGTCTTATTCCTTGAACTCTGGTGAATACGTATTCATAACACCGCTTCCCTCCGCAGCTACGATGTTCCCTGAGACAGCGAACTGGGCCCTCAATCATGAAGAGTAAGTGGTAATTACTGTACTTCCCGTGTGGAGACTCATATTGTCCGATAGTATCCTTCATGTTGGCGTTAACGCTGCTATCTGACCAACCGTTACGATTGATCTTCTACAAATAGGGGTACCGCGAGTTGATCTGTCTTTCATAATCCTCGTTTTTCTCGACTTCACTTATACGTGTGCTATCCCCACGATGGATATTCTCACGATTGCTCGGTGACCAACATGATTCGTTACTACCACCAACCGAGGCATCAGTGTACTTTCTGAATGTTATATGAACATCATCGCAAATGCTGTACGCCCTTTTGAGAGTTTCCTCAGAAACACTGGCCAGCTGGGTATGCTTAAATTAAACACCATTAATGCAATGGCTTTCGTTGTATGTCCGTTAAATCCCAGCAGGATGGCGACTAGCTTAGCATACCACTGCCCTCCGTTTGGTAGCATCCACAGCTATCGACACGACTCCTGACAGGACACACTATGGATATGAAAGGGTACCTATTCCCTTTCTGATCAGCATCAATGATATCACTGAGGGGTTTGTCCGTCCGCATGCATTCCCTATGGTAACCTGCAGACCTGTTGACTAAGAAATAGAACATGGGGGGAGCCATTAACTTGGTTTTACGTTGCTCCGCGGTTGATGAAATTTGCACTCGCAGGAAGAGTGGCAAAGGCCAGAAGAAAAAAACCAAAAAAATAAAACTACAGCACTCAGGATTCCCATATAGTCCCCTACCATGGTACTGACTGAGCGGCGCCCGGCTTAACTTCGCAGATCGGACGGGATGCGGTGCTTTCCAAACCCTATGTCGGAAAAAACCGAAATCCGTGGAAATGCGTTGCAACGCGATGCAATGCCCAAAACGGGTAAGTGGCGATGCAACCGTGGTGTCGAACACTTGATGTTGCAATGGCTAGGTCCGTGTTGCAACGGCTAGGTCCGTGTTGCAGCGGCTAAGTCCGTGTTGCAATGGCTAGGTCCGTGTTGCAATATGATGCAATGGGTTTGTAAAATGGACCAAAAAATGAAGACCACCCCAGTTTCGAACTCACAACCCTCCAGTGGAGCCTATTACTATATAGGGAATCGAATGTATATAGGACATATTATTAATACACAATTACAATTAATATACACAACCGTAATACCGCTCGGCCAGCGAGCTCCTACATATACCTACTCTACTTGGGCTTTATATCAATAACTATTGATGAACCGTGGATGGTCCGGAATAGGAACACTCCCTTCATCAGTTCAGTGAGTAGCAGTCACGGGCTTCTCTGCAACACCTGAAGCGATGACACACACAAAATATGGCTGAGCTGGCCACTTCAACTTATTATCAGTGACTCGGAACATGATGAGAGGCAGTGGACTGGTATGACTAGGTGCGCAATATCGTGTTTGCTTTAGGGTGGTTCTGCTGGGTATGGCACAATACTGTTGTGTCATATCGCGGGTACCTCAACAATAATTTATTACGCGCGCTTACTACTATCTTACACCACTCCCTACTCCTATGCAGTACTGGCAGATTGACACCTCCCGACTTCATCATCACCAAACCTCATCAGCAACACTGTTAGGCCAGATTGTAATATCGCGTGCACACCGACTAATCTCGGCACTATATACTCAACCTCGCAGCGGATGCCCATTGCCCCAGCCATTCCTGCCACCACCACCAAGCCGATTAGCAGTCAGCAATGGGATTGGGATAATGTTGCAACACTGCATGCATTCTATGCCAACCAATCCCAAAGCGGACGGCGTCCCCCATCACCAAACTCGCAGCCAGCGCTTGTATTGCACATTAACACCTCCAACTCCCTCATCATTGAGCTGATCTACGAGTGTTGGACTTCTCCTTTCCCATTGTTGTCAAATAGTAAAACGTGTAGTTAGCAATTTGAAATTCAGTTTTCAATCCTTCCAACTACCACAAGGCCCTGGTTCGCTGTCTGCAATCTGCCTGCGATCTGTCCGATAAACATTGAAGGAGGTTCCTTTCACGGCCCACAATGTCCATCTCACCAAACCCAAGCTCCAGTGCATTCCGATCTCGTCGATTCCAGGCACCAACTAGCTCTGAGGTTGCGCCACCTGCTGACCCTCCTACCAACACTGATCCTCTCACCCACACTGATACCTATGATGAAATCAATGATGGCACTGATGCAGATGGTTCAGATCCTGGCTCTGGTGATATAACCAGTATTAAAAGTGTCGAGAAAAGAATTCGGGAATATGCAGCTCTCTATGCAGTTCTCTATTCTCCCTTTTTGTCAAAAGCTTCCCTTAGAGTGGAACTCAATAGCAACTTCCATTCATGGACAGCTGAGGCAATGTTTTCATCCGAGGCAAATTTCAGCCAATACTGTGTCCACAAGATTCTTGAAATGAAGTACTCTATATTGACAGATGAGCTCCGCACTCATTCTGGAGTTATGCCCTGGTTGGCCAAGGTATTCCCTATGTCCTGGTGGCTTGCCTTACAATTAATTAATCAGATATTTCTGGTATGGCTAGTTTGTTTCTGATGTTGGGGCAAGGAGACGGCAAATGATGAGCCGCTTGCGAAAATCAAGCCTTCAACTGTTTGGCATGGACTTAAGTGTAACATTGCTGAAGTCAGGACATGGCCCAACTGCTGAAGAACGCCAACAACATCTCGGAATAATTCCTGATTCTCCCACTCCCATCGATCATCTGCCCTTGTTTTTGTTTCCAAATAATGACCGTTCTTGTCGCCAGCATGTATTTCGCTCACAGGTTGTTGCAGCTGTGAGCACTTTACTTGTGTGTTATGCTAATCATCTCACTCATATTGCTCAACAAGGCAATTATTGTTATTATTTTTGGACCTGCTGCACTCAATGATGCTGTGTCTGCTATCCCCCTTCCTGGATCTCCTTTGCTAGAGGATTGGGAATCTGCAAGGCTGCATGCATCGCCAAAGGCATTGGGTGTTACACATGCAGTAACTGAAATAACTCCAGGCACTGTTGCCATTGTTGCAATGCTGGTGGGCACCACTAAAATCCTATTTGACTGTCTTATACCAACCAATTGAATCTGAAATAACAGGTCTATTTCATGCTATCTGGTGATACTGAGTTGGTTTCTGCCCATGGGAAACCTAGTCACACCAATTATCTTGACATCCTTCTCAACTTTTACAAGTTCATCCTCACTGTGCTCAAACGAGAGGAAACTGCTACACTCCGTCCAATGCATGAAACAATGCAGTGGTATCAGCATTTATTGTTTGGTTCTCCTGCAAGAACAGAAGAGTCAAATCTGTTGGTGGAAGGTGGAGGCCTTGCTGGGGGCCTGGATGCCCTTCTTGCTGAAATGGATGTCAATGATAGTGAGGTGAGTCCACTGTCCAATTTCTCTGTATGAGTTTTGACATGGGGTGGGTCTCCATCTTGTGTTGATGCTGAAAATTTGCTGTAGGAACCTGAAACAGATCCAGCATCACCCAACATGCCCTCTGAAGAGCCTCGTAAGTTCAGCCAAAACTCTTATATACATTTTGGTGCTAACACTCTCACAGAGGGCCCAGAACCAGATGTTCAGACTGAAGTGGTGGCTAGCTCTGCAGTTAGCTTGGGGACAAGGCATGGGCGCAGAGGTCGAGTTCATAGAAATGACAGCCCTGGAGATAACAGTTCCAGAGAGGTCAGTCGTGGAAGGAGAGGCCAGAGGCAAGGGAGCAGAGGCAGAGTTAGGGGCAATAGTGGCCGTGGAAGTCGTAGAGGCCATGGAAGTCATGGAGGCCAGAGTGCTGCAACTGGTGATGAGTAGCTTCTGTGAATACACCATGTTTATACCCCTTTCCCTTTGTCTGTTTTTTCTCTTGTCTTTTGTCTGTGTTTTGCCTTTGTCTGAGTATGTCCTTCTGAGTATGTCCTTGTCCTTTGTCTGAGCATTTCCTTGTCCTTTGCTTGTGTAACTGTCATGGTCCTTGCATGTTCTAATGAAATAATCATTGGATATAGAGCCTAGGGATGGAAAGTTAGACTAGGTAGATACATACAAGGCAAGTTGGTGTCAGGGAACATGTGTCAGTTTGACCTTGCAGCTGAGAATCTCCACAACCACTCCCAGTTCCATTACCCCCAGTTGTCATATCCATCACTTTCCACCACCTTCCATCACCTTCCATCACCTCCAACCATCTCCATCCCTTCTGCACCAACCTCAGGACCTCAAAATTCCGTATTCACCTCCACACCCCCCAATGGTCACCACCCTTATATTACATATGCCACCCTAGTGTTAGAACCAGGCGAGAGTGGACGATTCCAGAGGGGAACTGTAAGAGACCAGATCGAGACAAAGGATTGTCTCTGTGATGGAGGGCTTCGGCCTCAGCAACTCAAGCCAGGAGCGCTGTGCCAAGTTACACATCCATGCCCTAATTTACTTATTGGCAACAAGAACTAAGGGGGATCAACTCAAGTCGATTTTATTACTGAGGTGTAACCTATGTACAAGTTGAGTATATATAGTTACAGCGAGGGTGTGTCAGAACCGTGCGAATCTTCGCCGATGGTAGCCATAGGTGACCGAACGTTGCCTGCTGGTGGTAAAGGCGTCCTACACACGACCGAGCTTTAGCGAGGGATAAACCCCACCGATCTCGAGGCCGAGGCTACTTAGGTGAGTGAGCTGGGATTTCGGCTTCAACGACTCGAGGAGGAGCGTTGCGCCTCATTCTTGACACGGTCCCGATACTTCAGAAGGTCAGAGGTCTTACAGGGGACAGAGGTAAGCTTAGGGGTGAATTCTAGTTGATTTCGAACTACAGTACAAGCATTAGTTACAAGCTGTATATAAGTGCTAGGGAACTGAATAGGGAATAAGTTGCCAGATCTCGCAGAGATTGTGGGCGGAGAAAAGAAGGAGGAAAACAAACAAGAAGCACGTGTTCAAGACAGCGAAGGTCAAGCGTGACCTTTGCCACGAGATAACAAGGTGCGGTGAAACATGGAACAACAGGTCGCAGCGCCCTGCGCCGCTAGGTCGTTCAACGACAATTAGGAGAGGGGTTGTGGAGAGGTGGCGGGAAGGGGTTAGACGGCGACGGGCGGTGAGCGGAGTGTGCGGGGAGTGTTCGGGCATGGGAGAAGGTTGGGGAGGAGGTCGTCTGACCCCAGGGAACGCTGGGTCGTGACAGGGTGGGCCCGTAAATGGCAGGGCCAAGTGGAGTGGAGCTAATGGAGTTAAACATTA